TCTTTTAAACCCCGCTGCACCCCCCCCCCCCCCTCAGGAGCCTGCTTCAGTGAGAGTATTTGGGGAAAGCCGGAAAGAGGCTGCAAACGCCGGCAACTCACAGACATCAACGCATTTTGCAGTGTGTTTGGCCAAGTTCCTTCTTAGTGTTAATGGAGGCAACAGCCTTGGGATTTTGCCCTCTTGTTCTAGCAGAGCGTTTGTCCCACGTTTGGCGTAGGTGTCCATTTCAACCCCAAAACTCATGTACATCCCTTGTGAAACCCCTAGAACCAAGCCCATCCTTGGTGCCGTTCTGAAGAGGGGATTTGCCTCTCTTCCCTCTCAGTGTTTTTCATGTTCTGTGTTGTACAACCCTGGATCTTCCCTTGCCAACCCTCCCCGTGTTCTCCCTCCCACATCTATTGCCTTGGCTTTCCTGCCAGAGGAGCTGTGTCTGTGTTTGAACAGCCAAAGCCGGGGAGGTTTCTCCATGTGAAATCCACCCCCTTCCCCAAGATCTAACCTGTCCTTTCCCCCACCACCACTCCCATAGTGCCATGCTGTCCCAGCTCCTTGTGTTTGTGGTAGAGTTAATGTTTACCATCACCCGCTCCCGCCTGGCTCGTGCTATCTCTGTGTGCTGCTCCTGCTTTGCCGAGGGGGTGGGTGGATGTGCAAAGACAGAGAGAAACATCAGTTGCAGTTCCAGGTGGTTTGGGAAGTAGTTTCTAACCGGCTGCAGCAAAGGGGAGCAGTCATTCAAGTGCCCAAAGCCCTAATGCTGCACTTGTCTGCAGCACTAGACCCTCGTCACAGAGCACTGTGTCTGCATTGTTTGCAGCCGCCACTGTTGAATATAGCAGTGTTGGTTTGTAGCAAGGCCCCTCCGCTGTTGTCAGCAGATGCGGTGTATTGCTTCCCTCCTGCCAGTGCTAAAAGACACAGCAGTGTCTAGTCTAGCTTCAGCAATTCTGCTTTGAGAGCGACTGGGGTAAGAAGTTACTGACCCAAACTAGAGCTGCCTGCCTGTCTCTCCAGGAGAGTCTCCTTCCCATTAGGAAGTCATAGTCCTTGTGCCTACTATTAAGCCTGATTCTGGCTCCTCTAGCTTTGCCACAGCTGAGATGTTCTGGATGTGCCTGTACCCAGTTCTTTGCGCGTTTTCCTGGATACAGTCTGGACCAGCTCCTGCACAATCAGCATTGTCATTGCGAACAGGAGCTGTGCCACATTACAGGAGCCTTTCTGTGTGTTTCCTCCTCTGTGCATTTCTGCACTTGAAGGGCGACAGAGGGAGAGAGAGGGGGCAGCCGCTGTGGATTGCAGAAGGTCTAACCAATCTGTCCTGAAACCTTCAGAGTCCAGCTGCTGGAACTTGAAGGCAATCCTCAGCCTACCTAGCAAACTCCCATCTGGTCACTGAATCAAAGGAGGAATCCCAGTTTTCAAAGGCATCTTGGGATAATAGAGCTCCAGACCGGTCCAGCTAATAGGGTCTCACGTTGCTGGTTGCATCACTGCTGTGCTCTCCTCCTTCCTTCCCCTCCCTTTAAACACAGGCTCTTTTCCAACAACTTTCCATTACAGGAAACATCTGTTGGAGGCAGGGCTGAGCCTGGGTTACTGCAGGGCATTGGCCGTCAGAGTTACCCAGATCCAGTAACTTCAAGCATGTGCAAGTCAGTTCAGTGTCTCCCCAGCCGTGCCGTTCACGAGAAAAATGTGCGGAATGGAGACGGGAGAGAAGAGCCTGAGACAGGCACGGGAAGAATAAGTCCCTGCTCCTCAGCTCGGCGGGCTGCTTGTGAGCTGCACACCGGTGTCCTGTGGGGCTAGATCTGTGATTTACTGCACACTGCGTGGGGTCCTGGAGAGCTGGACGGTGTAAGCAACTGCCTGTCCTGGACAGCTGTGGAAACTGGGACTGCATCTGGGAGGTGCTGCCGCCCCCTTGCAGCCCCGCTTGGACTCTTCCAGCTGAAGGCATGTTTGCAGTGCTCCTTTAAGAGATACTCGCTGTGGCCGGGGAGAGAGAAGCCACAAGAGCGCTGAGCGTGCTGACCAATGAGGTCCCCGTAGGAGCCGCTTTTTCAGAGTCCCTTGGAGAGCAAGTGGAGCTGCAGAGATTGCTAGAGCACAAGAGCTGGATGTGAGGAGCAGGGAAGGGCAAAGCGCACAGACCTTTAGCAGGCTGCTGCTGTTGAGTCTTCATTGGCTTTGGATCTGAAGCAGCTCAAGTGGCAGTGTGAGCAGCAGGTGAAGTCAGAGGGACTGCGGGGGACTCATGGATTCCTTGTTGGACTGTGCGGTGCTCTGGGCCTCCGTGCTGGCTCGAGAGAACGAGGAGTTGCTGTGGTTCCTGGAGGGGCTAAACGGCTTGTCCCCTGATTATGACCACCCAGGAGCAGAAGAGATTCCAGCTGTGAGTGTCTCCATTTATCAGTGTCACACAGTTCTGGTGCCACCTCTCTTTGTCATTTAGATCTCGCTGCCAAACAAGACGCTGGAGAGTCCACGTTTTACACACGGGACTCTCCCAGGAGGACCCCAAGCCAAAACTGCAGATCGGAACATCCCTGACTGTGTGGGAAGGTTCCGGTCCAGATCCAAAGTGTCCCACTCAACTCAGTCTCTCTGATGGGCTGAACCAAACCTCAGTTCTGGTGGCCCCTTCTCCTACTCACCTCACCTCACCGTGAGCTTGGGAGAAATGTGGGTCCAGGCTAGAACTCCGCTGGCCCCACCTCTAGTTCTGAGCCCACATTTGGATGCTCAGACTGGCATGTTGGTGAGTCAATTCCCAGTTTGCACGTCTGCCGATTTCTGTGTCAAGTGCAAGATGGGGGCGCCGCAAGGAAGAGCCCGTCTTGGGTCCGCAGGCACTAATGAAGGGCCATGGGGAAGCTAAGAGTTATTAATGGCGTGTTAATCGAACTCGGGCAGGGGGGCATAGGGATGCAGCTCAATTCTTAGGGAGACAGTTCTCAGGGGCATGATAGGGGATCACTTTGCATGATTTTCACTTCTCCCCTGTGCTGAGACCTGGCACCTTTTGTAACACACACGGCAAGTAACCACCCTGGTTCCCTCTCCCCGCCCTTCCTGCAGCAGAAGGCGGCTTCTGAATTCCCTGTGTTGTGTCTTCCTGAACCTGCCTTTCTGACTCAGGGAGAGTGTCGCCCAGCTAGGAAGGGTGGGAAGGGAGTAGACAGGCCTGTGCTCCAGATCACTTGTCTCACAAACGAAGGAGAGAGGAGCATTATGGTTTAGAGGAGAGAGGTGGCTCTTCTGCATTTCAACCTGCCTCCGTCCATCGCTCTCAGCAGGCTCCTGCTGCAGGGGAGGACGAGCAGTTCTCAGAAATCAGCGTTGTGGGAGGCTGCGTGTGTCTAAGATCACTGCTCCTGAGACTGATTCACGCTAACGTGTAGTAAACACAAGAGCTGAACCAGCTCCTGACCTCACTGCAGCCAGTGGCAAAATCTCCATTCAGGCCCGCGAACGGTCCCTACTTGCAGCTTCTCCTGTCTCCCATTAGAGTGCAGGCACCACACGGGGTGCAGTGGTGGGTGTGTGGGGCTTGGCATTCCACATGGCACGCTCTCCTGGGAGAGCAGCCGTGAGCTCCCACCACCAGTATTTCCACCTCAGTCCCTGCAAGCAAAGCCCCTCGCGCTGGAGCCCCTGTGCTGTCCCTGGCTCTGCTACCGTCCGCAATAGCTGGCAGGTCCCACCCCCTCCAGACCCTTCTGAGCTCTGCTCCCGCTTCTCTGACAAGTCAGGGTCTCTTCCTCCGTCATCCCTGCCGCCTACACGCTTATTAACCCAAGCTCCCTTCTTCCCCTCGATGTGTCACTGGGAAACAACGTCTTCTGGTTCCTGCTTTGTAAACTCATTGAATCCCCTCCCCGCACCACCATGCTCAGATGTCCCCTCCCGTCCCCCCTCCCCGCCTTCCTCTCCCTGCCGCTCCCGGGTTCTCTTTAACCGGCCCTCTGTTTTTTGCAGGTGTTGAGTCCAACGTATAAACAGCGCAATGAAGACTTCAGGAAACTCTTCAAACAGCTTCCCGATACTGAGCGCCTCATAGTCGGTAAGGCTGGGCTGCGGGCAGACGTTGTGGGAGTAAGTTCAGGACCAGGTGCATGAATCCATTTCCTCTAGACAGTGACCACCCCGGGGCCTTGTCTGCATGTAGCTCCGCACTGTGGTGAAAGGCTGGCTACCTCCAGGCTGTGGCGGGTAGCTCCGGGCTGAGGCAAAAAGCTGGTGGTGGCCACGCTGCGGCACGTAGCTCCGTGCTGCAGTGGATGTCTGGCTGTGTCCAAGCTTATCAGATAGTCAACTAGTCCCTCAACTAGTCGCTTCCACCTCCCCTCCCCCCAGCACCGTCTCTGCATGGGGCGGGGGGGTAGCGGGGACCGAGCGCGAGCTGAGAATCAGCTGATTTCCGGCTCGCACTCAGTCCCAGATGCTGTGCCTCTGCTTTTTAATTGTATTAAGAGCACAGCAGGGGGACCCTGCGTGAGCCGGGAATCATCTGGCCCGGCTCGCGCCAGTCCCCCACCACTGCGCTTCAGCCTTTTAAATGTATTAAGAGCCAACAGGCTCTTACTAACATTTAAAAGGCAGAGCTGCAGCAGGGTTACCTCCTGGGGCCAAGAGCTAACCCCCCGGCAGCTCCCCTGCTTATCGACTAATCAACTAGTCCATGGAAAATCCATCGATTGGTCAATTAGTTGATTAAATGAAATTTAACATCCCTAGTGCAGTGGGGAAAGTCTAGGGCAGCAGAGAGGCAGCCAGGCACTCTGTGTACATGCAGGTATGTGCCTGAGGTTCTTATGTGCCCGTGTTCTACCCACCTATGCAGAGCCTCACTATCCACCCAGCTGTTCGTACACGTACTAAGGGGATGTGCCACATCTGTGTGCTGCACACAGCCGTCATTTGTAGACGTACCATGCTGAACAAGCCCCTTGACTGCCTCCTGTATATGTAGGACTGGTACAGATGGACTTTTTTTCTGCTGGCTTCACTAGAGCAACAGTGATTGGCTTCGGCTGAGTTTCTGACTTCTAATGGCTTTCAGAGCCTGCAGAAAAGTCCCCTTCCCAGTTGATGAGTCAGCCAAGGTTTTAGCCTGAGAGCACATTCCCCATACGTGTGTCAGGAGGGTAGTCCAGAGTTGCTTTGTGGGCCTTTTTCTTGTTTATTTTGGGTTGCACGTCACATCATTCACGCTGCTCCGTCTCCCCTGCAGCCCCGTCTTCACATGTGCTCTGTGTCCCCTTCACACACAGGCACCCATTTCTCTGGTTGCCAGTTAAGCCATGGTGCTGCAGTCAGTTAATTACTACCACAACACTGCACCCATTCCTTGCACTGCGTGTGAGTGAGGATCTGAGGAGCTACTTGTAATTGCTGTAAGGTGCGCTAAGGAGGGAGAAGAGCTATTTGGAGGGGGGGAGGGGGTTCAGGATGGCAAAGTTATGAATAAGAGCACCGAACAGCACAAAGGATAAAACAAGCTAAAAATCAGGAAGTAATGCCTAAGATTCTGAGTAATCACATGGCAGAAAAGTCCCCCAAGCAGATGGTTTGAGACAGCTGTAACAGTGGTGTTGGCATAGGCTGGTGGCCACGGTGCTGACTGCGCTGTTAGAGGAGCTGGAGTCTATTCCTGGTTCTGCCACTGGCCTGCTGGGTAACCTTGGGCAAGTTACTTCTCTGGTGCATCTTTTCCCCCCTCCCATTTTTCTCTCTCTGGAAGCTCTTTGCAGCAGTTGGGGCTTCCAGAGCTACCCCAGTACCAATTCCACATATTTCCAGCACTAGCATGTTTGCACCTCTTGAGTTGGCTTGGTTACTGGCTCTAGCGCTGGTCTAGTCCTAATTTGGTTGCTTGTTCTGGCATGTTGGTGGTTGAAGCCTGGTTTGCTGTATTGCACGGGTCTGGTTCTTGCAAGTGTCTGGTCTCAGCTTCATTGTAGTTCTGATATGCATTTGACTGTAGCTCAGTTGCTGAGCCTGGCATATGTCCAAGGTTAACTTCGTTGTGGGCTTTGTAATTTACCTTGATAGCTACTTCCTGCAGGAGCTTGGAGCCTGAGTTACCAGTTCTGGTTCTCCTGTTTTTCTCTGGCTCAGCTCTGTGACCTGTTTTGATATAGTTGTGGCTCTACCTGGCCTGCCATCCCCAGCGGTGTACCAAAAGGTCCTGCTCCATGCTCATCTTCTGGTGTCTACCCACAGATTACTCATGTGCGCTTCAAAGAGACATTCTCCTGCAGGGCCGACTCTACCTCTCCGAAAACTGGATCTGCTTCTACAGCAACATCTTCCGCTGGGAAACGCTGGTAAAGAGCCTCTTACTTCTCCATCAGGGCTGCGCTTCCACAGCTCTCAGCACCTTCTTGCCTGTCTCAAGAGCGGGGGCATGCTGCGGCTTCTTCATCAACTCTCTTTGTCCCCTTTCTGTTTCTCTCTTCCCTTGTGCCATGGCCCCGCCCAAAGCTGACAGTCCGTTTGAAGGATATCTGCTCCATGACCAAGGAGAAAACAGCGCGGCTCATTCCTAACGCTATCCAAGTTTGCACTGACACTGAAAAGGTACGTCCCAGAACCCTCCACTCCTGGGCAAGCTGCACAAGGTGAGTGCTGAGCTAGTCTGCTGCCGGGGTGCTATAAATACCTACAGGGGGTCAGCACTGGTGCTGGCATTGGGTAGACACAGGGCTGTAGATTGTACACCGCACACCTCTGAGCAGAGCTTCGGGCATGTGCGGGTGATGTTGGGACAGCTCCCAGACCGGGAGCTACAGCTGCCTGCTCTAGGGACGGTGAATCGACGGTGTGGGGAAAGGGTTATGGAAGGGACTGGGAAGTTGTGGCTTTGGCTTCTAGGCCTTGCCACTTGGGCAAATCACTTCCCCTCGCCAAGCCTCAGACTTCCCATGTCTGCAATGGGGATAACAGCATTTACCTCCCAAGGGTGTTGAGAGACTTAACGCAGTGCAATTAGTGATCTTCAACTAGAAATAAATATATGCAAAGTGTTCCACGAATCCCTGGGGGGGGTTCCAGTATTAACCTGCATTCGTTTGGTCCGTGGGGAGGGGTGGTGTGCGGAGAGCCAGCAGAACCCAGTGTGGGGTTGGGTCGACAGTCGGGATAGAGCACACAGCCTCTGCAGCAGGCCTGCTGATACAAACCCCTGCACACGAGTCTCTGACACACAGTGTAGGCTCCTGAGGTAATGGCTACAGACATGGCCTCAGACATGCTCCCTCGGGTAGGTGATGCTCAGATCCCTCTTTTGCTGTAGGCTCCTGAGGTAATGGCTACAGACATGGCCTCAGACATGCTCCCTCGGGTAGGTGATGCTCAGATCCTGCTTTTGCTCAGTAGTGTCACAGTTCTGCTTGCCACTGGGTGTCTGTGTGTCCTGCGCGTGAAGGCTGAGAGCATGTTCCTCGCTCTCTCACTGGCACTCACTTTCTCTGGCTCTGCCCTTTCAGCACTTTTTCACTTCCTTCGGCGCCCGAGACAGGACGTACATGATGATGTTCAGACTCTGGCAGAACGCTCTCCTCGAAAAGGTACGGGGACATTCCTGCGCGGGTATCAGCGCTCCCTGCCACCTGGATGTGTGCCGCCCATGCAAGAACCCACAGTACGTGTGGCTAATCCGTACACATGAACCCGTAGGTCCAGTAAATGCACGTCTGTGCTAGCGAACCAGGTAACTGTGCAGATGCAACACCCTGCTACTCGCAGAGTGACCTGTCTGCACAGGCACGTCTGCCCGCCAGTTAAAGCTCCTTTGTTGAAAATGTGTCCCACCACATTTACCACTGCTGGAGTACAAATTCATGCGTGGCCCAGCACTCGTTTTCAGAAGGCGCTCATTTAAAATGAACCCGCCTAGCAAAAAGCAGTTCCAGGATGTAGCAAAAATCTCTGACCCCACAGGCAAAGGGCATAACAGGCACATAGTGCAGGAGGATGAGTCAAGGATGGGGCTGAGACCAAGCATGAGTCTACGACGTCCCCGGGGTGTGTGGAAACTATGGAGAAGATGCAAAACATAGGAAGACTATGGTTCCCAAACATGCCGGTATATCTACCTATTCTGCAGCAGCTGGAGTCCTGACTGTATTTGGTTTGACTCTCACATTCCAATAGCAGCTTGGTGCAGAAGTGCAAGTCCAGGCTGGAACAGAGACTCCGCAATGCCATAGGAGCATGAGCTCACAACGTACTGTTTAGTCAACATACAGATGACTAACGCAGGCCTTGAGTTCAGGCCAAGACAATGTTAATATGTAGCTAGATACACTTCCCACAGGTAGACATTGATGTGTCACAGATGTAATGTTGTGATTGCAGCAGCCTTTTTTAAATTGATACTGAACATCAGTGTCCTTAGTTCAAGACTTGAAACAAACAGGAACTGAGATTTGGAGCAGTGAAGACAGGAAATACTTGAAGCTCTTTCCCCGAAATAAGGGCCCCAAAGTGGTAGGGGGAAGGGAGAGAGAAGGAAACCCAGCCAGATGCCCTTGATAAAGCATATGAATGTAATAGATTGCAGATGGGCAGAGCTGGCCCCGCCCCCCCCCCCCCCCCCCCCCCACCACACACCCCCCTGCCAATTTCACTCCCATGCCATACAGAAGCAATGTTAAATCATTGTAACCTTGGTTAAGATTTTCCTGCCTGGTCACAGGCAGCAACAAGTGGGAAAATTCAAACCAATCAATTCCAGAAAAGATTTCTTTTTCTAAATTAGAAATCCTTCTTGCCTGCCATTTTGTTTCCCGATGGAATAAAACTAACCCCTTATTGTCGCCCAAAACTCTAAATCTCACATTCTGCTGCTGCAGCCCCTTGTAGCTGGAAGATGTAGTCACATTTTTATCAAGTGACCATGACCCACCAGAGCTAGGCTTTGAAGATTGACCTTCCCGGTAATGTTATTTCTCATTCTAACTAGTGACGTGTGCAGCCTTTTCGCAGTAATGCCACGAGTCCATCCAATCACAGTAACACTAGTGTTCTCAAGTTAAAGCCCCAGGGGAAAATATCTCTGTCTCCTAGAAGCAAGTTCAGGGTTTCTAAAATAGCTTTCTCTGTCCCAGCAAATTATGGGCAGCCTCCATTCAAAAAAAAATTTAACAAACTTGACCAAACCCCCCCAGTTGCTTTGTATCATGTCACTGGGAGACGCGTCAGTGGGAGGAGCAGTGGCAGTACAAACACACGTGAAGGAGTGAAGAGCTTCCTAGAGGAGCAGAGCAACCATGGATGGTGCAGGGAGATGAGTAGGTGGGTCTTCCAATCAGGCCTATCTGCATCCTGGTGCTTCCTCTTCTCTTTCCCAGGTGCCTGCAAAGCCCTGAGACTGTTGCACAGGAAATCAAGGGGGCCACCTAGAGCTATGCAGGGCAGACATTGAGCTGACAGGAACAGTTTGCACAGTAATGGGGTGGCTATTTAACCAGCGTGCACCCTAACCAGGGAATGGGTCGGCCCAGCCTGTGCTCACCCAGTCAGTGCTGTGGCAGGCTCATTGTAGCAAACCATCTCTCAGCATCACTGGGGTTTGTTGCCAGGAAGAGAGTCCCACAAGCTTGCGGCCCTAGGACAGAGGACGCTACGCCATTGCGAGCTAGATTACTGAGCTCTCGCTTCGGCTCTTCAGGCGGAAATGAGCCTCCCCTGAAAAGGAAAGAAATGGTTTAAAATCAATAACTATAGTGAAAAAGAAAGAGGTCAGCAACACACTCAAGAAATGGTAACACTCCACACCGGTTCCCAGCTGTGCCCAATGGACAGAAGTTCCACCAGGTCTCCCAGGCCTGGGAACCCCACAGGCCTGACTTGTATCCTAGCCTCTTTGTACCAGGCATTTCACTGGGCAGGAGTGTTACCTAATGGTTGGAAAAGGGGAAGAAGCATCTGATCTCTGGTCCCACATGGGCGTTGTGAGGATGAGTTGGTTGCTGTTAGGGCGGGATGCTGGAAATGCAAAGGGCGGTGTAAGTGCTAAGCAGGATGAATTCATTAGTGTCTGGGATTCTGAGGTGCAATGTGTGTGGTGTTATCCTTTCCCCCCATAGCCCCTGTGTCCAAAGGAGCTCTGGCACTTTGTCCACCAGTGTTACGGGAATGAACTGGGCTTGACCAGCGATGATGAAGACTACGTTCCTCCTGATGATGATTTCAACACTATGGGGTGCGTAAGTGCAACTGGGAAATTAGGGGCCCCATTAGGGGCCTCAGGAAATTAGGGGCCCCATCCCTTGCCTGCCTCCAACTCCCATTGACCTCCACGTGCAAAGATCAGGCTGAAGATCTGAGCTAAGCGCCTCACAGTTCACAAGCTTATTTGCACCACACCCTTTTCCCTGTGCTAGCCCCTTAGGTGTTAATGGACTTTCAGCGCTGAAAGCACATTCCTCTGCCAATGGCTAACGGGCTCTGTTCGTGAGTAGCAGGCTATAGCACAGAGGCTGTGTCTAGACTACATGCCTCTGTCGGCAGAGGCATGTAGATTAGACACATAGGAAAAGGTAAATGAAGCCACGATTTAAATGATCGCGGCTTCATTTAAATTTACATGGCGGCCGCGCTGAGCCGACAAACAGTTGATCAGCTGTTTGTCGGCTCAGCGCGGCAGCCATGTAAACGTAAATGAAGCCGCGATCATTTAAATTGCGGCTTCATTTACCTTTGCTGAATAAACAAATCTACATGGCTCCGTCGACGGAGCCATGTAGTTTAGACGTACCCTGACTAGAGTCCACCACGATGATGGGGACAAGGTGTTGCACACCAGCTGGTGCGTTATCCTGACAGAAGGTATCAAAACCTTTTTGATCATTTGTATAAGCACCTGAAATGTCCAGAGCTGAAAGCATGCTGGGAAAAGTCTGTCCAACAAGATTCCTGCTTGTTTCTGCTTCTGGGCTGGGGGGAAATACCAAAGAAATCCTTATTTCAGCATTTCCCAAAGACAAAGTTAAAGACGCGCCTGTTGTGTCTGGATTTACAGCTACTGCGAGGAGATTCCTGTAGAAGAAAATGACGTGAACGACAGCTCCTCCAAGAGCAGTGTGGAGGCCAAACCCGAGGCAAGTCCTTTGCTGCCCAAGAAGTCAATCACCACCAGCACGTTGACATCCACAGGGAGCAGTGAGGCGCCAATTTCGGTATGCGTCCCCTCTCCCTTTCCCATCCCAAATCTGACTGCAGGCAGAGGCCAGGAGCATGCTGATGGGCTGAAGGCAAGACAGGCCATGACTTAAGGGAGAGACTCAGGCTGATAAAATACCAGCCTATAGAGATTATGGATGATCTCTTGGGATACTGTGGTCTCAGTTTATTTACTTGTTTTAGTTCCGCGTGCACACACACTTTTTAAACAGGAGTTTCTGCTCCTCCTCCTTCTGACCTCTAAACTGTGATGTAACAGGCTGCTCCTGGAGTCCTCCTTCCACCGTAAACAAAACTAAATCACCCAAAGCATTGCTATGATCGGATGCAGCGCTCCACAAGGAAAACAAGAGGGACCTGCAGTGTTATGCCTAAAAGAAGCACATGGAACCTTTTTCAGGGGGATAAGGCCACACCGTCCCACAACTCACTCCCCCCCACACACACACCTCCCCCCTCCCCCCCACACACAACAGTCTGTTGCTCGGCCCAACCTATTAGCCAGATAGGTCGGGTGGGAGGAAGGAGCCGGGTTCTTGTCAGTCCGGACTGATGCTCCACTGGGCAGGACGAGAACTCAAAGAACCGTAGAAGACACTCCATCCTTTGCAGGATTTTTCTTCCATGCAAGTCTATGCATTTTGCCTTGTCAGGCCTTAATCAGTCCCTCAGCATCACAATCAGTCTTGCGACGACATGCTTATGGGGAAGAAGTTGTTCTCACCGTCATTTGATATCTGTATGCTGATGACCCCTCAGAGGTGTGGTCTTTCCAGTGAAAGTTGTTATCCGTTCCCTATCAAGGGGTGTTTGTCACTAACTTCAGGGTTTGTCAATCTGCCCTGGTAGTCTGGGTCTTCAGGGTGTTTTCACTAAATTGATCATTATTTGGTGCTTCTGAGTCTCCGGCCCCTCCTCTGACCATTTCAGCATGCAGCAGCCTGCACACTTACCTCTCCTAAAACGTTCTCTCTCTCATTCACACAAACAATACATTTACACAATTGCAGTGTGGGACAAAAGGGTCCTTCTAGTCACTTTAACAAAGTTACAAAGTCTTTCAACATTAAACTTCTTTCTGTCTATTACAAGGCCTTGCCTAATATTAACATTGCTATGTATTACAATATTCCGTCTCTTCACTTTACTATGCAAACATCAAACAGAGCTGGAGCTAAGTTGTTAAAGCTGCCTGGCCTGTCTGAGACCTACATCTTCTGTCTGAGTTTAATCCAAACCTTTTGCTATAACAGACATTCATTATAAGTAACTAACTTATTACTTACACAATTACAAGACTACAACAGCCTGCAGTCAATAATCCCTGACTGTTCCGTGGTGGCGATGAAGGCATTTTGGCATCTGTGGTGGTCTCAAATGAGAGGAAACTGATTTTTAAAGATAGATTCAGCTGATTGTCGTATCTCCCCTCCCCACAAATATGATTCTCTTAAAAGCATCCAAGGCAGAGATTGAGGTGGCCTTGCTACACATTTCAATGACTTAACAAGTTTAGATTGAGTTGGGGTTTAGTTGGGGAGAATTGCAGCATGGCTGTGGTTTTTTAAATATCCTTACATATGTGCTTAACCTTAATGGAAATGCAACAGGGCTTTGGGACTACGTGGTGTAACAACGTGAGTGTGCGCATGCGCACAGAATGTCAGCCTGATTTCCAGAGCTGACTGGTGTTCAGAGTTGAACAGTTCTCCCCTCTGTACTAAAACGATACGGCTAGACATGAATCCTTCCCACACCAAGCGATACCACGTAGGCAGAAGCATGGCTTCCCTGTCCTTGCCTGTCATGCTGTTTGCAGGAATGGCTACCTTGTTGGGCTTCTGTAATTTAACTTTTTTTATGAGGTTCCCTGGTTGGCCCGTTGCTCAGCCCCAACCTGGTGGATCAAGGAGTTGCTCGTCATCTGGTCCCTCCTCTTTGACCTAACTGGCTTGGGTTGCCCTGTAGCTCTCTGGGGCGCCACCCTGATGGCTTTTCTTGCGCTCTGTCCCCATCCCAGTTTGAGGGGGTGCTTCCGGAAGAGGAGGAGTTGGTGGAGAGTCCCCTTGAGAAGGAGCTCACCATTGAAAACATCATTGGAGACAAGATAGAGATTATCGCCCCGGTGAACTCCCCTTCCCTGGACTTCAACGACAACGAGGACATCCCGACGGAGCTCAGTGACTCGTCGGATACCCACGACGAAGGTGTGCAGTCAGGGCGGGTCTGGCTGCTCCTGTGGTGTCCCGGGATGCCCTGTGCTCTCTTTCCCAAGTGGGGACGTTGGGGGGATATTGTGGGATCCTCCTTTACTGGACACACAGGGTCTTTCATGTTCTTTACCCGGGGGGGGGGGGGGAGGCAGATGAAAAGGTAACGATGGGCTAACTCCATGGGACGAATTCCACGACTAATGTTACCGCCATTGCACCGGGAGCATGAAAAGAAAGAGAAGCAGCTGTGTCTCTTTTGAGCTCTTCCCTTGGCTCAGGTGGCAAATGGTACAGTCCTAGCTCTGCATAATGGGAGCCTTGTGCAGCATCCTTTGGCTAGAAGGGTGGCAGCAGCTCTCTCACCTCTCTCTGTCTCCCTGCAGGGGAAGTCCAGGCCTTTTATGAGGATCTGAATGGCCGGCAGTACATGAATGAAGTATTCAGTTTCAGCGTGGACAAACTGTACGACCTGCTCTTCACTGACTCCCAGTTCCAGAGGGATTTCATGGAACAGCGTCGGTTCTCCGGTGAGCCATGCACCGTCCTGGCTCAAGCACCACGTGGCCAGTTGGTGGACTCTGAGCACTAGGAGTGGGGGCCATGGAGAAGGGGGCCTCCGCATGTAGGTCTGGAGTGTGAGGCTTAGCAGCGCAATTCAGCATCATGCTGTTGCTGTCACGAGTGGGTGGTGAAGCTGTCTGGGCGTGGGGGCAGCGAAAGGGCAGTGGGAGTTATAAAGTCTTTGGCCGCGATTGTCACCAAGACTCAGGTGGGTGGACGCCAGAGAGGCAGATACCAGGCAGAGACTGGCCCTAGACTTATTTAAAGCTCTGGGATGTGGGTCTGCTCTGTCCCCCTCCTGCCAGCCATAGCTTCCTCTGCTATTAATTAGCCATTCATTAGTGTTGAAAACTCTAATACCTCATTTGCACTGGGATTAATTTAAACTCAGTCATAGAATCATAGAGCTGGAAGAGACCTCAGAAGGCCAGCAAGTCCAGCCCTCTGCCCAAGGCAGGGCCAATCCCAATTAAATCAACCCAGCCAGGGCTTTGTCAAGCCAAGACTTTAACACCTCTAGGGATGGAGACTCCACTACTTCCCTAGGTAACCCATTCCAGTGCTTCACCACCCTCCTTGTGAAATAGTTTTTCCTAATATCCAACCTGGACCTCTCCCACCACAACTTGAGACCATTGCTCCTTGTTCTGCCATCTGTCACTACTGAGACCAGCCTCTCTCCATCCTCTCTGGAACCTCCTTTCAGGAAGTTGAAGGCTGCTATCAAATCCCCTCTCACTCTTCACTTCTGCAGACTAAATAGACCCAAGTCCCTCAGCCTCTCCTCATAAGTCATATGCTCCAGCCCCTTAATCATTTTGGTTGCCCTCCGCTGGACCCTCTCCAATGTGTCCACATCCTTTTTGTAGTGGGGGGCCCAGAACTGGACACAATACTCCAGATGCGGCCTCACCAGAGTCGAATAAAGAGGAACAATCACATCTCTGGATCTACTGGCAATGCTCCTCTTAATGCAACCTAATATGCCATTAGCCTTCTTGACTACAAGGGCACACTGTTGACTTATATCTAGCTTCTCATGCACTGTAACCCCCAGGTCCTTTTCTGCAGAACTGCTACTTAGCCAGTTGGTCCCCAGCCTGTAACAATGCTTGGGATTCTTCTGTCCCAAGTGCAGGACTCTACATTTGTCCTTGTTGATCCTCATCAGATTTCTTGTGGCCCAATCCTCCAATTTGTCTAAGTCACTCTGGACTCTATCCCTGCCCTCAAGCATATCTACCTCTCCTCCTAGTTTAGTGTCATCTGCGAACTTGCTGAGGGTGCAATCCATCCCCTCATCCAGGTCATGAATAAAGATGAATAAAACCAATCCCAGAACCGAACCTTGGGGCACTATGCTAGAAACCGACCACCATCCTGACATTGAGCTGTTGATCGCTACCCACTGGGCCTGACTTTCCAGCCAGCTTTCTATCCATCTTACCATCCATTTATCCAATCCACATTGCCTTAACTTCTTGGCAAGAATATTGTGGGAGACCATATCAAAAGCCTTGCTAAAGTCAAGGTATATCACATCCGCTGACTTCCCCATGTCCACAGAGCCAGTTACCTCATCATAGAAGCTAATCAGATTGGTCAGGCACGACTTGCCCTTTGTGAATCCATGCTGACTATTCCCTGGATCGTCCTTCTTCCCTTTCTTAAAGATGGGCACTGCATTTGCCTTTTTCCAGTCATCCGGGATCTCTCCTGATCTCCACGACTTTTCAAAGATAAATGGCCAAAGGCTCCTCAATGACATTTGCCAACTCCCTCAGTACCCTCGGATGTATGAAGTCCGGACCCATGGATTTATGTATGTTTAGCCTTTTTAAATAGTTCCTAACCTGTTCTTTACCCACCACGGGCTGTCCACCTTTGTCCCATATTGCGTCACTTGGCGCGTTAGTCTGGGAGCTGACCTTGTCCGTGAAGACAGAGGCAGAGAAAGTATTGAGTACTTCAGCTTTCCCCACATCATCTGTCATTAGGTTACCGCCTTCATCTAGTAGGGGCCCCACCCCCTCTCTGATCACCTTCTTCTTGCTAAACTGCCTGTAGAAACCTTTCTTGTTATCCTTCCCATCCCTTGCGGGTTGCAATTCCAATTGCGCTTTCGCCTTCCTGATAACTCCCCTGCATTCTTGAGCTATATATTTATACCCTCTCTAGTCATCTGTCCAAGTTTCCACTTTTTGTAAGTTCCCTTTTTGTGCTTAAGTTCACCAAGGATTTCCCCTGTAAGCCAATCCGGTCTCCTACCATGTTTGCCTCTATTGCTACGCATTGGAATGGTTTCTTTTTGTGCCTACACAAAGAATTCTTTAAAATACTGCCAGCTCTCCTGGGCTCCTTTCCCTTCATGTTAGCATCCCAGGGGATTCTGCCTATCAGGTCTCTGAGGGAGTCAGAGTTTGGTTTTCTGAAGTCCAAGATGTGTATTTTGCTACTCTCTTTTCTTCCTTTGGTCAGGATCCTGAAATTACCATCTCATGATCACTACTTCCTAGGTTGTCACCCACCTCTACTTCCCCTATTAGTTCCTCCCTGTTTGTGAGCAGCTGGTCAAGCTGCACACGGTTCCTGGTCAGATCCTTCAGCACTTGTACCAAGAAGTTATCCCCAACATTCTCCAAAAACTTCCTGGATTGTCTGTGTACTGCCGTATTAGTCTCCCAACAGATGTCAGAGTGAATAAAGTCCCCCGTCCCCCATGAGAACCAGAGCCTGCAATCTGGAAGCTTCTCTCAGTTGTCCGAAGAAAGCCTCTTCTACCTTATCCACCTGATTCGGTGGCCTGTAGCAGACACCAACCACAACATCACTGCTGTTGTTTGTGCCTTTAAACTTAACCCATAGACTCTCAACAGGTTTTTCTACCTCTTTATACTGGAGTTCAGAGCAATCATAGTGCTCTCTTACATATAGTGCAACTCCTCCTCCTTTTCTCCCCTGCCTGTTCTTCCTGAACAGTTTATACCCTTCCATGACAGTGCTCCAGTCATGCGAGTCATCCCACCAAGTCTCTGTTATCCCAATCAAATCATAGTTCTTGGACTGGGCCAGGGCCTCCAGTTCTTCCTGTTTGTTGCCCAGGCTTCTTGCACTGGTGTACAAACATCTCAGATAACCAGTTGATCGCCCTACCCTCTCCATTTGAATCAGGGGTCCTCCTTTGTTGTTTGTTCCTCTTTGCATTTTTCCCTGGTATCTGACTTCCCCGCTCTCCTCAGGATTTTGGTCACCGTCCCCCAACGAACCTAGTTTAGAGCCCTCCTCACTAGGTTGCAAGCCTGCCCGCGAAGATGCTCCTTCCTCTCTTTGTTAGGTGAATCCCATCTCTTCCTAACGATCCTTGTGCCCGGAATAGAGTCCCATGGTTGAAGAAACCAAAGCCCTCTCTCCGACACCACCTGCACAACCACGCATTTACGTCCTCAATTCGACGATCCCTGCCCAGTCCTTTCCCTTCAACAGGGAGGATGGATGAGAACACCACTTGAGCTCCGAATTGTTTGATCCTTCTTCCCAACTCTACGTAATCCACAGTAACCCGCTCAAGGTCATTCTTGGCTGTATTGTTAGTTCCCACATGGAGAAGCAGGAAGGGGTAGCGATCCGAAGGTTTGATCAGCTTGGTAAGCCTCTCAGTCACATCCTGATTTCGAGCTCCCGGTAAGCAGCACACCTCTCGAGATTCCAGATCCGGATGGCAGATACATTGCTCAGTCCCTCTTAGGAGGGAGTCCCTGATCACCACCACCCGCCTTCTTCTTTTGGGGGTGGTGGTCGTGGAACCCCCATCCCTAGGACTATGCATCCCATGCCTTCCAGTAGACGTGGTTCCCTTCCGATTTCTTCCTTGTGACGTCCCTTCCAAAGCATTCACCATTGCAGAGCCTGTGGAGAGAGCCTGAAAGCAATTACTTACCGCTGTAGGAATGGGGGATTCCTGTGCTGGCCGTTTTTTCCTTCTAGAAGTTACATGCTACCAGTTCTCTTCCTCGTCCTGTACTGCCCTCTCTGGCTCTTCCGCCTGCCTTGCTTGCAGGATTAAACGCTGCTTCTATCGAGGAAGTCATAATCCTCTCTGATCGAGCAGAGAGTCGACACTTGGGCCTCCAGTCCTCTAATTTTTTCCTCCAAAATGGCGACCAGCTTGCACTTAATGCAGATGAAATCCGTTCTTTCTTCCGGGAGGAAGACAAACATGGCACATGCTGTGCAGGTAACAACAGCAGACCTATCACTATCCTAAAAAAGGGACTGTAGTCATTTCTCCCTTACCTGGAGAACGCCCTCTCTAAACTCCTTGTTTGCAATCACCTGTTCTCAGTCCACCCTTGCTTACGCAATCAGCTCCAGGTGCCAGGTTCCCAGTAGAAAGCATCTGTCACCGCATGCAAATCCCATCACAAAGTGCCACAGTCTGTAGCCCAGGCAGCGTGCGATTCTTGCTGTAGTACAGGCTGTCTTCAGACTGTAACTCTAGATCCTCATGTGGGAGGCAGAGAGACCCCCTGACCCTATCCCTGGTGCTGAACAAAGGGGGGAAACTGGCTTCAGAATTCCTCAGGCATGTCTCATGCTAAAGCAATGTAACAAGGAGCCTCTTTCTGCACATTTTCCTGCCTCACAGGACTTGGGAAGTGTGGTTGGAAAGGTCAATACAAAACTCCATATTTTTCAAACAAATAGGTAACTGAAATGAATGTGAGCAGTGTCGGAGGGTGCAGGATTGACAGCCTTGGGGAACGATGCCCTGGTGAATTCATGGGACAGGCAGCCGCTTCCCCGGCCCCTCCACACCAATGCGCCTTGTCCCTGGAGAGACCATGGCTAGGGGAGGAAGAGGTCCTCAGTCTCCATGGCCCATCCTGCCCTCCCAGCCTCAGCCCTGCCAGTGAGGGGAGCAATTAGGGCCGATCCTGTTGGGTTTGGGGATGTGGACAGCTTCCCCCAGAGCTGTCGATTCAAGACCCTAACTTGGCGGCCTTTCCTGTCTCAGAAATTATCTTTCATCCATGGAAGAAGGAAGAAAACGGCAATCAGAGCAGAGTAATCCTGTACACTATCACCCTCACCAACCCTCTCGCCCCCAAAACTGCGACTGTCACCGAGACTCAGGTAGGTGGATGCAGAACAGGCTGGTACCAGGCTGTGACGTTTGAATGCTCTGGGAGGGGTGTGTGTGTGCCCTGTTCTCCTCCCCGCCTCTTCCCGCTGGCCACGGCTTCCTCTATTATTAATTTACCACTCATTATTGTTGCAAATTCTAATAGCTGATTTGTGCTGCAGGGAAGTGAGTGGGACTGTCCAAGTGAAAGGATTTCTGTTCCCAGAACAACCTAACTGCACAGCGAAGGCATTGTCTGCACTAGTGGTTCCCACAGTTCGGCCTATGGGGCACTTACTGGGGTCGGTAGGGAGCTGGTGGATCACAGGGTGGTAGCTCCTTTGTTCAGACTCTATTACATAGAGAGATCAAAGCCAGAGGCCTGCCAAAGCAGCTGGAAACACGCAAGAGGAGCCAGTCTGGCGGTCTTTCCGCTAGAGCTGCAGTTGTATAGGAGAAAACAGTGGCCCTGTCTCGAGACCAGAGCCTGCAGTGGAACTGGAGTTGCCAGCTGCAGCCCAGGAGAGGAGAATCCAGGCAAGCAATGAGGAAAGTAATCCAGGCAAGCCAGGAGGAATGTCCTGGGAACAGGGGGTGAAGACAGTAGTGGGGCTGAACAACTTGTCTGGGGAAGCAGAAGAGATGGGAATCCAAGCACAAGGAAGCATTCATAAGGGGAGAAGAGGACCATGCAGAAGGGAAGGAGCCAGCCAGGTAGCAGGGGATCATGCATAGGAAGGCAATGTGCGGGGAGAGGAACAGACTAGAGTGGGGGAAGGGGAGAGCTGAAATGGAGCACAGAAGGAACCAGTGCAAATAACTTTATTTCCAAGTAGGGAATGTAACTGGCTAACCAATAACCATCGCACTTGCTGGGTCATGCTTCCCGGTTACCAGTTAACCGTCAGCCTGGCCTGGCTGGTCTGGAGCAGCACCCTGCCCAATGCAGACAGGGGCCACTGCAGCCCAGCCCGGACTCCTGTGCCATGCCCTGGTGGGGGGCTGCTGCAGCCCGGCTGGAATCCCAGTTAACTGTTTAAACAGGATTTTCCATCCCTGTTTCCAAGGGACAGACAGACCGCTTATCGTTCTGCAGAGAATCGGACACAGCTTGCTCCTGCATGTTGTTTTCTTCATAAGTAAATGCTGCAGCTCCTACAGAGGAGTTACCCCAGTGTGCAAGGACGTGGGCTGCGTTGTCGTGGGAGAGTGGGGCTATCGCACAGGACACTGGGGCTGTGTCTTCCCAGCAGTTAACTCTCCGGGATGAGTGAGAGTGGCCCCACTGCAAAACTCCTGAGTTACACAGAGTGGTTGCACTGGCAGCAAATGGGTTGTGTTCACTTCTCTGTAGCCAGTATCTCCTCACCTCCAAAGGGAAAATGTGACTTAAAAGCACCTACACACTGGAGTTCAGGGTTTCTGTTGTGTAGCTGGGATTCAAGTTAGGGGCAGCACTCCAATTACAGTATAACTTGAGTTACTTCTGCAGTAAGACCAGCCCGATGAAATCTCTGGAAAATCTTTTGTCTGTACTGTCTAAAAGTGAGGGAGTTACTGTGTAACGTAAATGGATTAGACTGTCCATTATCCTGCACCTTGTGTAGCTATATGCACCAGTGCAAAGCCCTTGTGAAAAGCTACCAAATCCAGAATGGTAATGATTTACGCTCATTTTGCACTGGTGTAAGTGATTTTGCCATATACAAAGCAATAGATAATTGAGTCTACTGACTGTAGTAAATTCCATCCAGTAAGGTAATGCTACTTAGTCTTCATGCCAAGAAACTAATACTGTTTGGGTTGTTTACAAATATTTGAAATATTTTTCCTAATATTTTTCCTCTGTACTATATAAAAAGCCAGAGATCAGTTTACTGGGGAATATTAGCATTGGTCAGTTATGTAAGTCAGTTGGGGTATTGCTTCTGATGGGATTAGGTATGTAACTAACCCAAACTAATTGGCTGTGTCTACATTGGCACCCCTTTCCGGAAAAGGGATGCTAATGTAGACTTCGGAATTGAAAATTCCGCGGGGGATTTAAATATCCCCCGCGGCATTTGCATTTACATGGCTGCCGCTTTTTTCCGGCTTGGGGATAAGCCGGAGAAAAGCGCCAGTCTAGACATGATTCTCCGGAAAATAAGCCCTTTCCGGAGGATTTCTTATTCCTACTTATCCCCAAGCTGGAAAAAAGCGGCAGCCATGTAAATGCAAATGCCGCGGGGGATTTAAATTTGCAATTCCGAAGTCTACATTAGCATCCCTTTTCCGGAAAGGGGTGCCAATGTAGACACAGCCATTGAGTTTGGAACATTATGCTCCAGTTTCCAATTTGCCCTAGGGAAATACCTGAGTTAAATTTTTTTTTAGTATTCACACCAGGAAAACTCAGCTGCTAATGGAAAACTTAACACAAAAGGGGTCACGTAAGTGGTGCTCGTGGCTGCATGAGATGTTTTGCATGACTGCAGTGGGGAGCCTTGCTCTGCCCTCGCCTTGCTCTGACCACACTAGTCACTCCCCTGTGCTCTCCTCTCTGCTTTGCGCAGACAATGTACAAAGCCAGCCAAGAAAGCGAGTGCTACGTGATAGACGCAGAGGTGCTAACTCACGACGTCCCCTACCATGATTATTTCTACACCATTAACCGCTACACGTTGACTCGTGTCGCCAGAAACAAAAGCCGACTCAGGTACAGTACTCAGAGGGGATGTGGATTTGTCGATGGTGAAAGGTCTCAGAGGGGTTGTTAGTCTTTATGGGTATGTCTACACTACCCCCCTAGTTCGAACTAGGGGGGGTAATGTAGTCATACGGAGTTGCAAATGAAGCCCGGGATTTGAATTTCCCGGGCTTCATTTGCATGAAGCCGGCCGGCGCCATTTTTAAATGCCGGCTAGTTCGGACTGCATGACGCGCGGCTACACGCGGCACGAACTAGCTAGTTTGGATTAGGCTTCCTAGGTGTACAGCTAATTCGGATTAGGAAGCCTAATCCGAACTAGCTAGTTCGTGGCGCGTGTAGCCGCGCGTCATGCAGTCTGAACTAGCCGGCATTTAAAAATGGCGCCGTCCGGCTTCATGCAAATGAAGCCGGGGAAATTCAAATCTCGGGCTTCATTTGCACCTCCGTATGACTACATTACCCCCCCTAGTTCGAACTAGGGGGGTAGTGTAGACATACCCTATCTGACAAAACAACGAGGAGCCTTGTGGCACCTTGGAGACTAACAGATTTATGAGGGCATAAGCTTTTGTGAATAAAACCCACTTCTTCAGATGAACTGGAGTGGAAGTTGGAGAAGCAGGAGAATTTATAAGGGAGAGAAGTTGCTTGTGTTAATGAAGCTAATCAAGCCAGAGTGAAGTGGGTCATTCACAGCATTTCATCTGGAGATGTGAATAACGAGAGAAGGGGAAATTGCCTTTGTATTGCGTTAACCAGTTGAGATCCTTATTCATTCCTAAGTTGATAGTGTGAATTTGCAAATGAACTCCCAGTCAGACGTCTCCCTTTTGTAACTGGTTTTTGAAATTCTTTTGCAGAAGGATGGCTGCTTTCAAATCCATCACTGTCTGTCTAGGGAGGTTAAAGTGTCCCCTACAGGTGTATGTGTGTTCCCATCGTTTGGCCAATATGCAAAGCAGAGGGGCATTGCTGGCACTTGATGACATATATACTTATTCCTGGCTCTTCTGAAATGCCTTTACAAATAATGAGGATTGATCTCCTGCCTTTTGCTTTACAAGGGAAGGGTGGAGAGACTGCAGGAACCCTGCCTTTGCCCCGATACCGTACCTCTTGCAAGCAGGACCTCTGCATAGCTCTTGAGAGTGGCCGGAGAGATGGCTGCCTAATGCCCTGGGCCTTGAGCACAGTAGAAGCAGCAAAGAAAGTGTGGAAAAAAGGTTGGGAGGTGGCCAGGAGCCAGAGAACCTCCTCTTTGAGTAAATGGTTGCTAGGGTCAGCTGCTGTGTTCTGCCAGTTGAATCTTGTGGGCAGCGGGAGGCACCTACAGACAGCACAAGACAGTGGGAGATTCAGAGGGCCAGTGGGGAAGGAGAGCTAGTACTAGGCAAAATTCTGCTACCGTGGAGGTTTGGAGCAGCGCCCTAGAGTTTGGCTGCATATCCAGCACACATCCAGCCTTGCTGGGAGGGGTTTTGAAACTGGGCTGAAAAGAACTGCCACAGATGGAGGTTTTCTATAGGAATGGGCCCCTGGCAGCACTGTGGGACTTCAGGTCTCAGCCGGAGCCGCCATCAAACCCCGAGAGGGAAATGCGTTCTCAGTTGCTTTAGCAGAGCGCTGTAGCTGCACCCATCCCCGCAGACCCCGGAAGCAAAGATTAGGTGACAGCTCGCGGGTAACCGGGTTTGTTCCTTTTCTTCCCTCAGGGTTTCTACAGAGCTACGTTATAGGAAACAGCCGTGGGGGCTTGTGAAATCCTTCATCGAGAAAAACTTCTGGAGCGGCTTAGAAGATTATTTCCGTCATTTAGGTGAGAGCTGCAGTAGCTCGCGCTGCCCTCGTTACCATTGTGTATCGATAGCGGGTGTGCACACATGCACCCCTCCCGGCAGGCAGTCTGGGGGGTAGGGGCCAACACTGCACTGGGACTGTGAAAGGGTTTCAAACAGAGCTGACGATGTTGTTCCTGCACCTGTAGTTCTGCCTGCTAAAAATGGGCAGGCCGTGAGGTCACATGGCATTAGCCCAAACACAAGGTGATCGTAACCAGGTGTTGGGCCAGGTGCATTATGGGTGTGCCTGCTTTCATCTCAAGCTGCCAGCACCGAGCCTTGTCTTGGGCCAGATGGTGCCCTGGGCGGAAACTCTTGTTAGGGTCCCCAGTGGCCTTGCACAGAGAGACACTGGTTATTTTCCCTTGCTGTAACACGGTGCCTGACTCCGCTGCAGAGAGTGAACTGACCAAAACTGAGAGCACGTACCTAGCCGAGATCCACAGACAATCCCCCAAAGAGAAGATGAGCAAGCAACCCACGTTGCGCCGGAGAAAGCGGCCCCATGCCCACCTGCGGGTGCCACACCTGGAGGAGGTGCTGAGTCCTGTCACCACCCCGACCGACGAGGAAGTCGTGCATCGAATCAAGCACGTGGCAGGTATGGAATTGCCTTCTAGGGCTGGGCTCTTGGAGGCTGGGGCCAGGGGCTGAGTGGGACCAAAGGCTAGACCCCTCTTGGGGGCAGCGGTGCAGTGGATCGTGGCTTGGGGCGATGGTTGGAGTGGGGTTTGAGAGTGTGGAGAAGGGAGCTGAGCTCTTCTTAGGCTATTACTGAAAGCGGTGACAAAACGCTTCCCTCAGGTTCCACGCAGACGCGGCATGTCTCCGAGGACAGTCCCGGTGGCTTCCATCTTCAGAGCGTCTCCAAGCTGCTCGTTGTTATCAGCTGTGTGTGAGTGACTCCTTATTCCCGCCAGGCTTGCTCAGTCTCTCTGCTTGGGCCCCCCACTCTCCATCTCTCTTTGCCTCCCCCCACCCTAGACTCACTTGAGAACTAGGAAGCACAGAAATTGACCCCCAAAGCAAAAATCAAATAAACTAACTTTAAAAATACCCCCCCCCCCCATCCAGGTCCATTCACTTGCGTTCTAGTTCTGGCCGAGGTTTGGGTTGGCTCCTTCTGGAGATGATCCACATCTCAGCATTGTGACTCAGCCTCCTGTTTGGTTCCTTGTTTATCCGTCCCCGTCCCTCCATCTCTTCCAGGCCTGACCTTGCTCTCAGCCAGCCAGAGCTCTGCGTTCCTAGAAGTCCTTGGAGGTAGCTTAGCTAGGCCATGTCTACACTGGGAAGTGGTTTCGAAATAACTCCCCTTATTTTGAAATAAAAAGGCCGGCGTCCACACTACCAAGCCTGTTATTTCAGTATAATGGGCTTGTTGTCTTGGAATAACAACTCCTGCTTGTGACGAGGAATAAGCTTATTTCTAAATAGTTATTTCTGGAATTATTTCAAAATACTCTGGTAGTGTAGACATAGCCCTACAGAATACACTGGGGAAAGGCCTGACTGAATGGGGAGGGGAAATCTGTCACCAACAGAGAAGAAAGGAGACTAAGCGGATGAGAGGTCAGAGAAACTGATATGAACATGAGAACCTATAAATAATGACTGAAGAGAAGAGAGTGGAAAGAGTAGTAGCAGCATTTTTGCAAAACAAGGCATAAAGCAGGCTTTTATAGCATGCAGGATCTCGGTGTAGACATTTTGCCAATTACGAATTCTGCATAAGTGATGCAGAGGTTATAATCTGTTATTAACCTTCTTGGTACTACATCCAAACAACCCATCAGTTCCCAGGCAAGTGAAAATGAGGTGCATGTTTCATGCAATCCATTATATTATAGTGATAATGATAAAGATACTATACTACTACAGCAATGTGTTCAGTACATTGGTTTTTATTGTATGTGACATGTCAGTTTGCTGCCTGTTTTCCTCTTTATCACATCCCGCGTGAAACCTTTATGGCTGCCTGCAAATGTGTATGTTCCCAAGTTGTGGGCTTTGGAAAAATTCCACCCAGGAAGGAAACTGGCCCATTTAGAAGAGATTTCTAAGAAATCTGTTAACAGAAGTATTCAGAAGAAAAAAGGGAGAGGGAGATTGGTGAGAACCAGGTTTGCCTGTACAGTGGTTATAGCAGGCCATTAAAAATCAGCACTGCTGAATTATAGTCCTAGCTCAGCACTTACTTTGCAATGGCTACAGTAGGGGTGTGCTCATTGGAAATGCAGATGATCCAAACAAACTTGGTCCTGCTACAAGGTTCCTATCAGACTCCATTTACCTGTCTATAAAATGTGATCCTCATGCCTGCTTGCAACGCAGGCTGTTGGGAGGATACTGCACTCGTGAATTTTGGATGAAAGGCACGGTACAGGTGCCTGACAAAGGGTGTACCCTGATGCATGATCCTGATAACAGGATCCACTGCAAGAGTTGGAATAAAGCAAGAACCACTCCACACTCAGCCTTTTCAAAGGCCTGGAAAAGTTTTTAAACTTGAAATTTCAGTACTTCTCTTTCTGCACTTCCTGGTCCTAGCTGGGCTAAGGCTGAATGTGCTTTCTGACAGGGCTGGTACATCTAGCAGCAAGTCCGACATTTCCTACTGGGTGAGCTCAGTATCTCTGGCACAGCAATAGGCATCTTCCGCTAGAGCAGGGATGGCTAATAATTTTTTAAAGTGGCCCTGGGTCGCACCGGAAGGGGCAGGGCCTCAAAAGGAAGGGGCGGCTGGGGCCAGGATGTTTCAGACTTTCTCACCCACAGATCATGACTGGTCTGGTGGGTGGGGTAGCCCTCCCCCCCCCTCGTTCCCATGAAGCACCATGCTCCTGGTGGTGGGAAGAGATTTCCCACGCTCCCCCATCCCCAGGCCAGTCATGGCCTGGAGACAGGGGAGCACGCAAAGCCTCCTTCCGCCCTGCCAGGAGCAGGCAGCACTTCTAAATGCCACGTGCTCCTCACAGGGCAGGGTAGGACGGAGGAAACTTCGCACACTCCTCTCGCCCTCAGGCCAATCAGGACTTGGGGACGGGGCAGCATGAGAAGTCTCCTCCCGCCCTTTTGCCCACCCCTGTGCTACAGGCACATTTGGCAGAGCTGCAGATATTTGCTGTGAGACTGACCCGGTACCTGAGGCAGCAGGGCAGATGTTTGCTGCTGGACATATCCGTACCTTCTCCACCAAGGTGCTTTCTGCTGGGGGGTTGTAACACATCCAGCAGTTTAGGTAAGAAAGTAGAAAAGGTCAGTTTAGAATAATCTCTGTTAAGAGGCTACCAGACAGTTATCTGATTGGAAGGACGGAGGAGCACCAGAGAGCAAAGCGTTTGTACTAACGGCACTAGCCAGAAACCTGTGCCAGAGGAATGGGCTAGCCTTCTGGTTTTGAGGCTCTAGGCCCATCTAGGCCAATATCTTTTATCTGTGCTACTGATGCACTTGACAGAGCATTGCCCTGCATGCTGTGCTGTCAGACTCCTTTCATATAACATGGCACAAACCGAGGAACAGGTGCTTGCAACTTGAAATGTGAATTTATAATCCAAATGATACCATAGGCAGGTACCCATGTGTGCTGGTCTGCAGGCACTACCCAATCTCTGCTCTGCTGCCAAGGAAAGAACATTGTCCTACGAGAAACACCCATGTCACTACAGCTTTCTTCCTTTCTCTCTCCTCCCCTTCCTCCAGCCTTTCTTTCCCCCCCCTTCTGTGTATTAGATGTATCCGCCAGACGTTCCTTCTCAGTTTCTCCTGTCCCTGTGCTGGTCTGTTTCTAACCTCTAGCTCCTCAATCTTTTCTCTTCCCTGCTCCCATTAGGATTTGTTTCAGGTACTGTCTCTTTTTTACCTCTTTACTCTTGTGTTTTTCTTCTGCTTTTCCCAGTATCCGATATAACTTGCCACCCACTGAGCCAGAATCCTAACCTACCAACCTTGAACTGTAGGTTTTCTGGTCCAATGGGTTTCCTCATTGCTCTGCCCTCAGTTGTGTTTGTTTCACGACGTTCTGTCTGTCTCTCTCTCTATCTTTCTCAGACTAAAACTTCAGGCCCTGATCACCCAGTTCTTATTCAGGCAAAACTCCCACTGCCAACAGTTGACAAAGGCATACAGGCCTCTGAGACCTTTGGGGCATTGTCCAGGGTGGGACTGGAATGATGCTTGTAATCAGGGATGTTTCCACCAGTGTCTTTCTCCTTTCTAGTCTGGTGCTGTTGGTCATTCTCAATATGATGCTCTTCTACAAACTTTGGATGTTGGAATACACCACCCAGACCCTCACCGCATGGCAGGGCCTGCGGCTACCAGAACGGTAACTGCCTTTCTTTCTCTCTGCCCCCCACCAATGATTGCTGCGTATAGGCAGGCATGGCTTTTCCAAAACTCCACAGCCCAGAGCTGCCTGCTGGCCTTTCCCAGCCATATGCACTAAGGTGAAGATACATTATTTGGCTTGAAATGAGCAAATAGATGCTTAACACTGGACCAGCAGGGTGAGACTCAGGCCTTTCCTACCCTAGACTGTGCTAGACAAACAGCACTCTCCAGTGGTTACTACATGGGGCAGAGAACCAAGGATCACCTGTTGCTTGGTTTTGGCTCTGAAAGGGAGCGCAGTGTATTGTGTAGAGTCAGGACTCTTGTGTTCCATTCCTGGCTGTGCCACTAAGAAGGCTGTGTCTCCGCAGCAGCGTTATTCCAAAATAACAGAGCATGTCCATCCAGCAAGCCGCTACATGGAAATAATGTCTAGCTGGAGGACTTCTTACTCCGACTCCTGTGACCCTCATTTTACGACCAGTAAGGGAAGTCGGAGGAAGAGTGTTCTTCCTTCCACTTCCTGCTGTGTAGACGGCGCCAAAAGCCAAGTGAAGCTATTTCGACTTAAGTTACGCAGTCGATGTAGCTCAAGTTGTGTAGCTTAATTTGACTTTAGCCCTGCTGTCTAGATGTGCTGTTGTGTGACCTCCAGCAATTACTGTCACTGTACCCCTGTGTGGCTCAGTTTTCCGGTCCATAAAATGCAGTTAACAGTGTCTACCTTTCCTGGATGTGGGTTGGGCGTTGCAATTTGTACTTAATTGAATGCAAAACATTTTGAGGTGTCATGTGTTTGGTTATATCATTAGCGAATAGTTTGGGGAGGAGAAAAGAAGAGGGGGATATGAAGAATTATTCACTGGTCATACTGTGTTCCCCAGAAGGGCCAAAAATTAACCAATTTAAACAATTATGGATACAATTTTCAAGAGACGTAGGAGAATGAATTTCATTGATTTTGAATGAAACTTCATCTCCCAACTGCCTTGGACACTTTTGAAAATGGGACTTAATGTGCTGAGACAAGTGGGTGTTTCTAAAATGTTATCCCTTACACTGCGGTGGGGGTGCCGAATACTTTTAGTGGATCAACTTCTGTTGGTGAGAGACACAAGCTTCCAAGCTACACAGGGCTTTTCCTCGGGTCTGGGGAAAGCACTCAGACTGTCACAGCTAAATACAAGATTGAATAAATAGTTTGTCATAAGTAGTTAGCACATATTCTAAGGGTTCATTCAAGGTGAAGTGACCTGCTAACACCCTGTAGTCAGTACAAAAAGGGGTAAGTTTGTTGTAATAAGCCACAAATTCAGGGTCTTTATTAAGACCATGAGTTTTAGTGTCTAGCACAGTAGTGAATTTAAACTCCCAGCGTCATCTTTTGAAAGTGTTGTGCTTGTTCTTTGAGGGATGAAGACTGATAGATCAGATACCTGATCACTTGAGCAGAGTTTTATCGGAAAACCGCAATTTGCATATCTTTTTCCGCCTTTTTTTTTTTTTTTGGAAGAGGCTTTTCTGAAATTTGCCCTGTCTACATGGGGCCAAATTTTGGAAAAACCTCCTCTTTCGGAACATTCCTTATTCCTCTCACCAAGAGGAATACAGGGATGCCGAAAGAACGCACCCGCTTTTTTGGAAACTGTTCCAAAAAAGCAGACGTGTTTCCTGGACACAGCAGAGCTTTTCAGCGGTATCCTGGAAAATCTCTGCAGTCTAGACATAGCCTTGGAAAAAAAATATTCGCCCACCAGTGATGTGGTGTTTTTCTCTTCTTTTTTTTCCTGATGAGTTCATTTGAAAGTGCAGTGATTGTGTGGATTCATACATGTAGTTGTTGGGTGTTTTAATATAGCTTGTCTCTCTCACCAACGGTACGTCGACACTGCAGTGCAATTTTGGGATAGTTCCGGTATCCCGAAACACCTATTCCGCGTCTTTGAAACAAGCCTGTTATTTTGAAATAAAACAGGCTTGCTATTTCGACGTTCCACAAGGATTAAGGGACATTTTGGAATAGCAGTTTATTTCAAAATTTGGCACTGTGTAGACAGCACCATATTTCAAAATAAGCTATTGTGAAATTAACTCAGAATAAGCTACGCAATCTGCATAGCTTATTTTGAGCTAAGGGTGCAGTGTAGATGCCCCCTGAGAAGTTGGGCCAGTAAAAGAAGTACTTCACCCACCTTGTCTCTCTGGTACCCTGACATCATTACATGCATCTGGAAATGTTAATTTCAAAGCATTTCCAGCCAAGCTGAGGTTGGGCAGAGGTCTCCAGAGGTGACAGGGAGTGGAAGTGTATGAATGAAAGAGTGCTGGGGGAGAAGCGGAGCTCTGCCTTTGAGGTGAATCGTCACCTTTCACTCAGCAGCCAGGAACTCCCCTGCATCCCTTCCAGCCCCAGGCTCGGGGTAAGTGCTTCTCCCCAGCCAAACAGTTTGTGTTTTTTGTGCACCTGGCAGGTTACCCCAGTCTCAGTCGGAATGGGCCCAGTTACTGGAGTCCCAGCAGAAGTATCATGACACGGAGCTGCAGAAGTGGCGTGAGATCATCAGATCCTCAGTGATGCTTCTAGACCAGGTAAGAACAGCATCTCCCAGCCATGGACCCCAGGAATTCCTAGTGCATGAGACTGAATTGAACATTTCTGCCACCGCGCTGCTGCCTAGCTAGATCCTTCCCTAACCAGGGATGTCTAGCTGTCCCAACAGACCCATCTTCAAACAGGGCTTCTGCAAGCAGGTAAGCTTTGCCAGCTTCAGAGCCATCCTGAATTCCAGAGCTGCTCCTTGACACGTAGCCTCGGCCAGAAGGTGGATGTAGCAACAGGTCTGGGATGTTTGTGTTCACATCTTAATTTGATCCTCTCAGTCCCAGGGAAGAACAGACAAATTGACTCCTATGCAGCTTACTGTGTGGGGGTCTGCTCCATGTGGGCCACAGAGATCCTTTAGGTCACTTTCGGTCGGGGGTGATGTTCTTGGACACTTCCTCCCTGCCCCTCTACCTGTTTGCTGGTAGGAGTCCACCGTCCTCCACGGAGAGGGGGCTGTCTGTACACAGGCCGCTGACTGCGGGGCAAAGGCGGCAGCTGCCATGAGGTCCAGCAATTCCAAAGGGCCTGAGGTTCCTGGCTGCCACTGCGCCGTCTGGGAGGGCAGAGCCACCCACCCGCCACTTGGCTCAGGTGCCTGCCAATTCTGTCGGCCACCCTGTCAGTACAGACTTTGCATTTTCTTCCACTGTCCCTTTAACAACATGCGTCTGTCAGAACCCTAGGCCCTAGGTGTCACTGTGCTCCATCTGCCTGTCTGGGAGTGCAGCTCCCTCCCTGCCACTTCCAGCCCAGGGGCAGCTCCCTGGCTTTATATCAGTGAGACACTTAGGGTGGCTTTTGTCTTGCAGATGAAGGATTCCCTAGTAAACCTTCAGAACGGCATCGGGTCACGCGACTATGGGTCGGAACCAGAGGAGAAACGGAAGCATTTCCACTAATAGGGGCGAACAGAGGAGGCCAGAGGATTGTGTGCAATACGTGTATATAGACCATATAAATATATATATACAGAATATAAATATATATATATTATATACAGATTTTAAAAGAGGAAAAAAAGCCTATGTACTAAGGAGGAGAGTGGGTGCTGACCTCCAACACTGGCTGAACTGGAGTGTCGCTGGGGTAGGACGGTGTGCGCAGGGCGGGCTGTGCTTTCCTAGCACTGAGGCACTGTCCGGGAGAGTGCAGCTCGCGTTTACCTGTCCCCACCCGCCTCTCTTCTGTGCATTCCTGGCTGTCTGTCTGTCTGTCTGTTTTAAAGGGAAGAACCCACCCACCTGCGGCTCCCTGCATGTCGAACAGGTATTTAAAGGGGATACTGTTGACTTTACCCTGCTCCATTGAGGACAAAGGGGATTTTGCTAGGAGACATCGGTCCCTACTGAACTGAGCAGGCTTTGAGCCAGGAGAATTCTCTAGGACGCTACTCTGGTTAAGTAGCGAATGGGCTTTGTCCCGCGCCATCTGCTAGAACGCCGTGGCGGGGCGCAGTGTGCCGGGAAGCTGCCCAGCCTAACTGTGCTGAGTCGAGCCCAGAAACTGAACCACATTTTCTCAATGAAACATTTCACTGTCTGTTACGAGAAGCTCAACGGCAGAGTCGAAGGGCCACTGACGTCTAATCCCGGACCCTGGCGTGTCCCATTGAAGTCAGTGAATGTAACCCGTTGGGTAGTTTTCACTCGACAGCGTCCCCTTTACATGCTCTGTGTTCCTCAGCGCATCTTGAGTGTGTGTCCCTGTCAATAAGCCCGCCTCTGTGCTCAGGACCTGCAGCTGTGCTGAAAGGGCTTTCTGTCTTCCCTTCTCGCCTGGCGGGGGGGTGAAGTCCAATGGCTCTGACTGGATATAATCCCTATTTTTTGTCTTATTCACTATTTTTAAAACCTCCTCTTGTCAACAACAGCAAACAAGTAGTGGGCTAGGAGAGGGCATTTGGCATGTGCCAGGATCTTCTCCCTCCATCTCGCCTCTGGTGGAACGCCACTCGAAGAGGAAGCAGCTTCCTTTCACAAAAAACCACAGTCGCAGTTAAGCAGGTGGCTTATCGGGAAGCCACCCCCTCCCCTTCATTGCGTGGCTGGTCCTGGGAGGGTCTGGAAGGGGGATGGAAGAAAAGACCAGCCGCACAGGTAACTGCCATTCCTAGAGGCCTGTAAGCAGGGGACGTTTTAGTGAGTTTCCTGCTGCTTTGTGGAGAAGGAAACAGGGGCTCAGAGTAGTGTCAACCGCAGGGCTCTGGCTGCAGAGGTGGGGTGACGTGTAAATGTCGCAGGTCTATTTATTTTGTTAAGTTAATACAAAATGATGAATGTGTAACGATTGGGCATTTTAACCTAGCAGAGGCCAGGCGAGGACGCCCCAGGGCTGTGGTGTGCAATGTACTAGGCTCAGCATGTTAGCTGGGTAGCTGGTGAGATGTCTGTCTAGGGTTGGACTCCCACACTAGACAGGCATGTTTTACCTTGGAGCAGAGAGGGATGAGGTGCAGTCTTCAAAAATTCCATTTTTGGGTCTTCAAAAATTCCATTCTTGAGCCAGTGGCCTGGGAGCGAGCTCCAGTGATGGGAGATGAGACGCGGGGGGTGATGGCGTAAGAGTTATTATTGGACACACCACACAAATGGGAACCCAGCATGGTGAAAGCCTGATCCTGAGGTCCCACAAGTCCCACTGACATCACAATGATACTCTGCCTTTATGGTGTGCTATGTCCTTAGTTACAGAGGAGGAAACCGAGTCACAGAGGGGCTCAGCAGCTCTCAGGAAGAAGCTCTGACAACGGCACATCCCTTTGTGCAGTGAAAGGATAAAGGGGGATTGTGGTGGTGACTAACATGCCTTAGCAGGTGGATTAGTTGGTCTGTGAACCCTCTATCTCCACTGCCCCTGTCTCTGGAAGGATTTTTGAAGCAGGTGAGATCGCCTGGCACGGGGCAGTATTGAGTACTGGACGATCTGCCAGGTGGGTTTCATCTCTAGCTTTTGCATGTACTGAAAGAGCAAGGTGAGCGACAGGCTAGTCTTGTGCCATATGGCCTACACAGCTGGGGGAAAACATCTAGAAGGAGTTTAAGCACTAAGCCATTTATCAATACACTTCTTGCAACAATGCACTAGCTGGCTAGTTTGGCTGGGGAGCTACTGCAAATTCAAAGTGTTAGCAGACTACCGCTCCAAGAGGAGGGGAAGGGGGAGCAAGAAAAGTCAAAGGACTGTGGCCAAAACATGCCCAGGAACCTAGCGAATGTTCTACTTTATTTAATTTATTGTATTTATGCGTATTTATTTAACTTAACACTGCTTAGTACTGCACATCTCCCTGGCATTTCTGCCAGAGCCAGGCGCTGCTGCTGAAATTAGCGATGTAGAGCAACCTAAGCCCCTAGCACTGAGGAAAAAAGGGACCAACCCTGGAAATTGGGTGGGATTGTCTGCTGTGATGAGAATGGGCTTGTGTTCCACTGCTGTTCTAAGTACGGACGAGCCCAGACTCATTGGTGGGTTCCAGGAATCTGGCGAAGGTTGTTACGGGTCTAGCTTAACTGCCCCCCTTTTCCAAGGTTTCACTCCAAAGAAGAGTGGAGAATCTGGGGGCTTCTGTCTTAAATATGCCCTTGGGACACTCCTAATGCAAGTTCATTCAGATCCAGGAGGTGAAGCTGCAGTAGCTGTACTCTAGCACACTGGCTGCATGCAGAGATAGATTTATCCTGCTTGGAAGGACAGGAACCTGCCCCAGCTGTGAAGGCCAGAGATAAATGGTAGCATTCCAGGTTTGTTTCTCATAGTCACAGGTCTGTCAGTGTCTCCTACAGCCACTTAGAGATCTGCCCATCTAATCTACCCCATGCCCCAGCAGTACACGTACTAGTGTTTTGTGCAAGTGCCCTTGAAGAGTTAATTCTGTCCAGCAGATCATAGGCCTACACAAACTTGTGCTGCTTCATTTAAACAGCTGCAAACGACTGTGCCCATTCATAACCCATTATGAACTCATACTGACAGGTGTACCTTAAGCCTGTAAATGTACGAGCTAAGCCCTTAGGAGTGTCCACACATGCAGTGTCACTGGTTTAACAAAATCGGTGCAGCTATACATGGAGAAAAAGCCTTTAGTATCAGGAAGCTTTTCCTGGCCACTGGCAATAATTCCTCTCTGGCTTTCAGCTGCTTGTACCTGTGCCCTCTCTTAGCTCCGCTTATCTAGGCTTTTTAACTCAGAGCCTCACCCCTTGCTTCTCTGCCCCACATGCTGTGAAGAAACACCCCCATTTCTTTGCCTCCTGCACAGGGGGTTGAAAGAGATTATTTGATGTGTATAAGGACCCAGAATTCAGACTGTCTGGGATAAAAAGAGCCTGAGAGAGTTAGGTACCTAAACCCTATTGCAGTGTAATGTATATAATCGAGCAGAGGTTCCTAGTGGTAAAACAGAGATAAACGGAAGGGAAGATACTGCAAGTCCAGCTGAGGTGACGGTTAGTTTTCACTCTGGCTCTTATCTCTGAGGCTTGCCCTTTTTGACCAAGCCTGAAAACATGAGCAGACACATTTATTGTCCTGCTGACCTGTGGGGGAGAAATCGTAGTCTTTATTGGTACTCTGCTTGTGCCAGGCCCTCATCCTTCCATTGTGAGTCGCCAGTCAAGGAGAACGGTTTGGCTTGATTTCTGGTGTCTGAGCAGTTGTGAAATAGATGTGTAAAGGGTCTCTCTCTCCACATCACTCCCCTTTGTGCTGCAGCTAAAGCACCAGCACAATATAATCTACTCAAACAAATGGAAACAGCCAATGGCCTAAATAGTGCTGAGATTCTGCAGTACTGGGGGGAGGGATAGAAGGGTAGATCATCTGGGACACCGATTCTCGGTTCTAATCTTTCCATATGTGGAGAAAAAAGAAGTTTCCTTGCTAAGCCTGGTTTTCAAATTTGGCTGCCTCAGTTAGGTACCTACATTCTGCCCATTGGTGCTTTACTGAAAATGGGTATTTGGGGCTGTAGTGTCCATACAGTGCCTGTGTTTGAAAACTGGCTCCCAGTTACATAAACTCAAGACTTGTTCATTTGTCAAACAGACATTATCTGGGGGTAAATGTGCAATTCAGGTCTGGGAGAACTGGGGGTGATGAGCTAGGAATGAAAGAGGGGCAGGCGAATACTCAGACTCATTTTAAAACTTTGGCATTAGTGGGAACACTGTAAGCCAAATTCTTCTCTCATTTAGAGTCAGGCTAGTCCATGGATTCAGAGATTTATTTGGTGTAAAAGGGGACAGTTTGGCCCAATATCTCCTCTTCACGTGCACATTTAGCTGTCAAATCACTAATTTTCATAACCTACTATTTTATAGAGGAGCGCGTGGAGTTGTCTCTTCCAAATGGATAACTGGTTCAAACCATTACCTCAATTGGCTGCTGAGCACTGCAAGACATTTTGTGACGTGTCTGCAGTGTTTTCCATTGGGGTAAAGAGGAAGGTCCAGCCACCCATTGGAATGAAAGTAGTGACTGAGCCAGGTATGGGTCAAGTAACCATCTACGAGACTGACTGCCTACCTTAGCATCCCTCAACTGCTGGAGTGTGTTGAGTTGGGCATGAACTCTCCGAAGAACAGCTTCTCTCAGGCTTCCAGCAGAGGTTAGAAACATGCTGCACAGTAGCATGTCCGCGCCTGTAACAAACGGTTACCGCATTGCTTTCCACTCCCTCCCGTGCGTGCTCCTCAGAACAGACGTGTGCTGTGATGCCAAGGCACAGAGAGGGTGATCATCGGATACAGTGGCCCCCTCAGGCTACGTTTCTGGGCATTAGAATGGAGAGGATTCCTTTCCTACAGGTACCTGGGAACAGGGCACTCGGAGTCCTTTCCTCTTCACGGTAGCTTTACATTCCAGAGTCTGGACTCCCATCACCTGTCATGCAGCTAGCAGTTCCAGAGTGGAGCAGGACAGACTGTGGCCTTTTCATCATTTGCCACTGGCACATGGAATTGGAGGAAATCGCTTTTCCCCAAATCCATCTCAAAGCTCAAACGGCCAATGCTTGTCTCACCAACCACCTGTTAAATAGAGGTTAGTGTTGAGCACTTCAGCTGGTGTCTTTTACCTTCCCCCCAATGCCCTTGCTGGATAAGCTGAGTGAGAGTAGAGCCACCTCAGGGGAAATCAGCTCTGCCCTCTGCCTTTTTGAGGATCATCCAAAACAGATTCTCCCTGTCTACACAGCCTGAGAGTGAGTAGTCCACCTAGGAGGTACAGATTCAAGATGACTGGAGTCTTCTCGGTTGAGTTCTAGGCAGATGATATATTTATACCATGTCTGAGCACCAGAGCTTTTGGTTAAATACTGCAGTTTGACAGGAGATGATGGCTCTGTAGCTCACACGCCTGCCACGAGAACCAACCTTCTCCAAAGAATACTTCAGTACCCTAGAGGGAGGGCCTTGCTCCTGGCAGCCGCTGTGCTACATGCACTGTTCTGGCCTTGTTCCTGTAGAATTTTGCTGTATATTTTTGTCAGCAAAGCTGCTCTTCCTCCCCCTCCGACTTCCATGCATCCTCTGGGGGCTTCACTTATTTCAGCACAGCTGCACCTTGCAGTTTGCAAGTCGTTAGACTGTTCTCCTGCCACTGAGGGTCTTTTGGTTGGTAGAACAGAACCTGGCTTGAGGTCTTGAGACGCATGAGGGCATTGTTGTGAAATTACCTCTGTGTTCCTGTTTAAAGATGCTCTGGGTGGAAAGGGCTAGACCCAAGGGTCTGGAATAACCAGTCTGAGAAATGGCCACCGTGATGTGCTGTTTGCAGGAGAGAACAACACTGAACATTCACTCCCTGTCTGCTCAGTCGCTGCTCTCTCTGCTTGCAGTTTCTAAAGCACAGGTGAATGAATCTCTTTTGTGCCATAACATGCTTGTTTCTAGATGTGCAAACCAGCCAAAATCGTGTGTTACTTTCCTCCTCCACTTGCTCGGCATAGCTGAGCATTCCCGTAGCTATACGAGGAGAACTGGCCCCCAAAACGCATTCTGCAGCTCCTGTGTTTGCATGGCTCCGTTTTCTCCCTTCCCACACCTCTCTGCTGCAGGACAATCACCTCTTTGATATCCCGGTCTCCCTCTGTCTAAGCTGGACCGACCTGACACTGTCTCTGCTTGTCCTTCTTTGCAGCAGTTTGTGTTATGCTAGGAAATGAATGTGATTTATTTTGGTGGGGAAAGGACTTTCCTTCTGGCGAAGGGATTATATTTGCACATGGCTCAGGGGGGCTCCTCCACCTCTGACAATTTTTGTTACCTCACTCATTTTGGTCAGTTTCATTGCTAACATTAAAGGGCCGGCAGCCTGTGAGTTAGAAAAACGCAGCGTCCAGAGCTGCTCGGGCAGGTTTTGTTTCCAAGCTCAGTCTAAACTGCCCCCGCGGCACTAGAAGGTGGGAGACTGGTGGCGGCTGCCAAGAACCGGCAGCTGTAGCCAACAAAAGGACGGAGCTTGTGCCACATCAGCATCGTTCCTCTCCAAGATGGCTTGGGAGCCCACGTCTCCTTCCCCCTCTAACAGAACAAACACGGAAGCACCAACCTGCGCTCTTGGGACTGGACATTAACGACACTTTTGCAGTGTTCCCAGCAGGTTGCAATGCATTGTTTTCCCCACAGCTCCGACCCTCAAATACTCCATGGCTGAGTAGTGCTGCTACATCCCTGGACTGTCCTTCCACCTCATACAGGCCTGTGTCCTGCAACCCTGATTCAGGTGAGTAATCCTTACTCTTGCAAATAATCCCATTGAGTAAGGATTTACTCACATCAATAGGAGTGGGTTGCAAGATCATCCCCCCCAAGGTGGGCAGATCCCCACTGAGTAGTGACACTAAACTGGGAGGGAGCGATACACGCTAGGGCTCACCTGCCTTTTTGAATGGTCTGTGGTGGAAACACAAACTCTGGGGCTGGACCAAAGGCAGAGGGAACAGCAGTTGTGTTTTGAGGCGTTGTTTGGCTCTGTAACTGTCATAAACTTTGCGCTGTGCGCAAGGTGTGATTTAAAAAAAGACACTTACCTGCTAGGAAACTAGGAATTATAAAGGCTACACAGCCAAATCTCAATGTAAAGTAGCTAGAACAATGGAAAATACATTATGAATAAAAAAAGTATTGAACAAATGACAGTGACTTTTGAGTTGAGTGCTTCATTTGTTTTATTGTGCTACCTAATTCTAAGTCTCTCTTGATACTTCTACATATACAGAGAGGATTCTTTCCTGACATGTGTGGGGAAGATCTTCCCACAAGATTGACTATCTTTAACAATGCCTTGGGGCAGGTCCATCTCCCCCCCCTCCCCCCCCCCACACTTTTCAGTCACAAGATAGGGAGTCCTAATGCAGCTCTCTCAACACATAGGTTCCCCCTACCCAAAAGAGAGTAGGGGAGTCTCTCTGTAGGATCACTTCATAAATTACAGGGTTAGTAGAAGCTGAAAGACACACACACACACACACACAAACAGCTGGTTAGTTGGAAAAAATCAGAAAGAAGGAAGAATAAAATGTGACCCTTCATTTACTCTAAGAAGCACGTCAAGGTGCTTTAACTATTGAGCAGGTTAAATGACTGGCCAACTGAATGTCACAGTCAAGCATGGAATCCTGGATTTATGGCTTCCTCTGCTCTAGCCTCTACTGCTGTGGATTGAGAGTTAGTATTCCTCCCCTAGCATTTGCGGTTGAATAAACTGGCCTAGGAAAAATGAAGATCTCCAACATAACTGAAAGGGAGGATTCTTCCTCCATTTTAAATACTGGAGTCTAACAAACCAGTGCATAATCTAAAGCATTGCTGATGGTACATGCTTAATCTGTAGATGGGCCCAAGCTGTATGACTGGAAGCCAGCTTCAAACACACTATGGCTACGTCTACACTGGAGGCTTCTTGTGCAAGAACTCTTTTGCGGAAGATTTCTTGTGCAAAAAATCTTCCACAAGAGCGCGTCCACACTGCCATGTGCTTTTGTGCAAGAGCATCCATGGCAGTGTGGTTGCTCTCTTGCTCAAGAAAGCTCTGATGGCCATTTTAACCATAGGGGCTTCTTGCACAAGAAATTCATGTTACCTGCCTACACTGCCCTCTTGTGGAAGAGCTCTTGCGCAACAGGGCTTATTCCTTGTGGGGAGAGGAATAACTCTTCTGGAAGAAGCCCTGTTTTACAACGCTGTACTGTAAATTTACTTGCACAAGAACGCTTGTGCCATGTAGACAGCAGGCAAGTTTTTGTGCAAGAACAGTTGTTCTTGTGCAAGAAGCTGCCAGTGTAGACATAGCCTATGGGTCAGGTCTGTTTGGAACTGGGGTTTAGAGTTACAAAAAAAAATCAGGATAGTCTGCAGCTTCTGATCCTGGTTGGGTCTCTGAATAACCACCACCAAGGAATTCTGGTTTGGGCCTGTCTAACTTCAGCTCACATCCGAGGGATTTGTGCACTCTGTGATTTATGCCTACCAAAGTAGAGGAATTCCGTATGCAGAAGGCATGCCTGGGTTAGTGAGTGCTTTGTCTATTTATTTGGGAGCAAAGAATCCCTGTGGCAGGTGCATTTAACTCTTGCAAGCTGTATAAGAGGCACTGTAGCTATCACAGTATCTCTTCGAAGCAAAAACTCCTATTTCCTGAAAAACAGCATTCAGCAGCATCTCACTTGCATGTGCCACTTCTACATACAAATAGTTGCCCCAGTAATCTCCGATTCTAAGATTAATGCTCCTCTACATGGGAAACCTCCATCACCGTGCTGAAATGTTTTAATAAAGGCCCCATGCCCCCCTTGACACTGTATCTGCAACTCTTTATACACAGTGTTAGTACTATATAAGTGTCACTTAATTTACAAGAGAATTGCTCTGCAATAATGAGTCACATCAGACTAACGCCGAGTATTCATCGTGACTAATTATCACAGGAAATAATAATGCGTTATTAATGGCTAGGGGAGAAAAGCATCACGGTTTGCCTCTAGGTGGTGCAACTGTCCCGCCAGGAATTTTTAGTTAGTTATAAAAAGCTCCACAAATTCCAGTGCCACCTCCTCATGTCCCCATGTGGGAATCAGCAGTCCGGTCCATTTGCTTGCTTACCTAAAGCAGACTCTCTCTCCTCCCTTCAGGGGCTCCGGCCTTTTACTCTCTTCCTTAAATTAGCAAAGTGTCCTCAAATAGGAGTATCTCTCAGGGCTGCTTTCCTGTGGTTGTTGCAAGACACTCATTGATACAGGTTATTTCCATGATAAGCAAACACTACCTGTGGCGTACGTCAACAGAACAAAGCTAATGGAGACAAGTGGTCGCCAAGTGAAACAGACATCACTTCTTGGAATTGTCGCAGCTTATAGGAAGGGAATCCCAAACTAGCAGTGGTACAGCTTAAGGGCATGACTATACAGGGTTAGTATACAGCAAGCTGGGCTATAAATCTACATTGCACTAGGTTGCCACATGCTGCGTGACCCCTGCTACCATGTAACAAGTGTTCTGTAGTAGGTTAAAGCACCCCATGGAACTTGTATGCAGGAGTGGGGGTGCACATCAAGCTAGTGCACTGTGGATTGCTGCCTACTAATTCTCTGCATGCTGAGCGTTAGCGTACATTTTTGTGTAGCTCTAAGCTGCTGTGAACCTTCTGCTTCCCCAAATCTTGTCTTATGTTTGCAACAGCAGCCTAAAGTCCAGGGCAGCATGGGGAGCAAGCATTGGAATGGGAGACAGCAAGCATTGGGTGGTGCCGAGTTACGGTATCTTTTTAATAATTAAAGTGACTGCTCAGGTTCTCTCAAAAGGTTGAGCACCATGCTAAAATGACCTTGCGGATGACCATGTGTGTCAGGATAATGCAACAGCACCCTGAGCACAGCAATGTCAAATTAACATATTTTGCAAAGAAACATGGTGAGGGTTGATAAATGATACTAGTATTTACAAGACCATTAAATGACAGTGGGAGCAAAACGTAGGGAGGAGCAGTGCTACCCATACCCCAGCCTTCTTGGCTCAACATGCTTCAAAGGAGAATCCGTTAGCAAATGGAGTCCTGGAGCCGAAGTCAAGGCTGTGCAATGTCCAAGGCAAATGGAAGAGAATTTACACCTTCCCTTATTTCCTCCCGGAGCCATAGAGTTCTCCCAAACCTGGCTGGAGTGAGTTGATCCTTCCAACTTCAGAGTCCCTGTAAGGAACAGAAGCCCACCCCCACCTTGTGAGTAATACTTCCTTATCCGAAGCATAGTTTTGTATGCACTGGTAACTGATATTATTTCTGCTTCCAGCACCTGAGAGGCTGCATTGTTAAAAATGCAACAGTCCATGCAATCAAATGCAGAGAAGTTCTAAACTTTGAGTCCTGTATCTGAAATGATAAATTCTGGGTTTTTTCCTGACTGAGAATGCGAACAGAGAGACCAACATTTCCCAGCAAACAGGAGACTTGGAAATTCTGTTTCAGAAACACCAAAAGAGGGTGTTCCTGAAACAGGTCAAAGGATCATGAATGCCAGTTTCACTTAGTGGCAGAGATCTCCAGGCTACTTCGGAACAAGGCACATGCCATCCCTTAGAGGCTCAGCTTCAATGAGGTTTCATTGGAAAATGGCTAAGCAGCTCTGCCATGGAGAAACCAGGTTTGACTCCCTGCTTTACTACAGACTCTGGCTACGTCTACTCTGCAGGCTTTTTGCACAAGAACAGCCAATCTTACGCAAAAACTTGCAGAGCATCTACACTGCACGCATGTTCTTGCACAAATAAATTTACAGTGTTGGAAAACAAGGCTTCTTCCAGAAGCATTATCCCTCTCCCCACGAGGAATAAGCCTTCTTGCGCAAGAGCTCTTCCTAAAGAAGGCAGTGTAGACAGGCAACATGAATTTCTTGTGCAAGAAACCCCTATGGCTAAAATGGCCATCAGAGCTTTCTTGCAAGAGAGCATCCACGCTGCCATAGACACCCTTGCGCAAAAGCACAAAACAATTCTTGCTCTTTCGGCTTCTGTTTTCAATCGGTAACGCAGTAATAATAGGCCTGCCCCACGTCCCTGGCGTTTGTGAGGAGAAATCCATTAAGAGCTGAGCTACTGTGGGCCACATCAGTGCCTATGATAAATACGTTCCTGGCAGCACAAGGCCAGGTTTTTTGCTATTCAGGTTTTAAGAATAATCTAAATGCACCCACAGTCTGTACATGCTTAGCTGCTTCCAGTGCTGTGGCGGAAGTGTCAGCTACAACGCAAGCCTGGGGTACGTAGATGCCCACGCCTAGGTCTCAAGCCTTTTGTCCGAACGACATAGCCTCGTTTTACTGCACCACTCCCTAGTGGTTTTAGGCTGCTCCACAATTCGGGGAGCAGAATCGGCACGTGCACCAGGCACTAGCCAAACCCTGGTTGTGTATCAAGCTTGCGTACCTTATTGCAGGTCACAGCCTTGGCTACTCCTCCACAGGCACAGCGCAGTTTTCCTTGTTTTCCGAGGGAATGGCGAGGTAATCAGTCCTACAGATGGAAGAAGAGCGATCACCACAGGCCAAAGGAAGCCCAGGGAGATGGTAGCAGCAAGCATACGCTGAGCTGCTTCACAGGGAGGATCTGTTGAGAGTTGCCACCGACCTCCTGGTTTTCAGAAACACCAAGCGCCTGTAACTTGGCACCTCTTGACATGTCAGCCCTTACCTGCCCTTGGCTGAGGAAATTGCAGGGCAACACCCCAGAAAATGTTTTAGGTGTGCTCCTTCCTCATGGATAGGTGGGGAGTTGGAACCAGGATAGTCATAGGAATATTTTCTCCCCACTCCCGCTGCACACAAAGGGCCTTTTTCTCTGACATATATATAAGGAGAGAAACATACAGTGTGGAATAATCTCCAGGGCTGTCTCTAGACTGGAAAAAACTTGCCAGCTGTCTACACTGGCCGCTTGAATTTCCACAAGAACACTGACTTCCTACTGTCTGAAATCAGTGCTTCTTGCGGAAATACTATGCTGCTCCCGTTCGGGCAAAAGTCCTTTTGCGCAAAACTTTTCTGCAAAAGGGCCAGTGTAGACAGCTCAGATTTGTTTTCCACAAAAAAGCCCCGATTGCCATTTTCGCAATCGGGGATTTTTTGCGGAAAAGCGCGTCTAGATTGGCATGGACGCTTTTCCGCAAAAAGTGCTTTTGCGGAAAAGCGTCCGTGCCAATCTAGACGCTCTTTTCCGCAAATGCTTTTAACGGAAAACTTTTCCGTTAAGAGCATTTGCGGAAAATCATGCCAGTCTAGACGTGCCCAGGTGTCTAAAGCTTGAACTACCTCAATCTTCTTTAAAAACAATGTGTGATGTTTATGATCCTAAGTACAGCATATTGTAGGTAGGTCCTGGGAAGACCTACACTCTTCGGACAAGATGCCTTATGATACCGCAGTCACTGCAACTTGGCCAACATGTGTTCACTCTGAATTGTAACATGGGCCTTGCTAACTTACAGTACGGCCTCTTTCAGGAGAGACTCAGTCTTGCTACATGCCATGAGGATTCTGAGATGCGGCAACAGAAATGAATGTAAGATTTAAATGCTTTTAATGGTGACCAGATCCCTTGATGAACCCTCTCAACTACAGCCAGTAATTTCTGCTGCGAGACGCTCACTCACACAAAGATCTGTAAGATTTTTACTTACGCATTTTCCTGGACAGTCTCCTCTGCTTTGGAGACCTTCCTGTAGCAATAGACCATTTCTATCAGCAGCCACAAAGTAAGGAAGACCAGAAGAATGTACATCATAATTTCAGAGATGACTGACGTGAAATCTTCTCCAGCTGTTGGGGAAACAGAATTGAAATACATGACTGATCTTTTAGAAGATTGTCCAGTGCAAAACAGGTTCTAAAAGAACTGGCCTGCTCCTGTTTTCAGTCAGCTGATGTTACCTGCAAGATTGAGCATCAGAAGATACAGGATTGTAGGGTTACTTAAGCACCTCTTATTGGAACTAAGGCCAGCAGGCTGAGTCTGCTGCTGAAAATGGAGGCAGCGTCTGAACTGCCATTTGAGTGAATAGCTCTGAAGCAGCTTAAGAGGCTGTGGCTAAGTGAAGAACAGAGCCTGCCAATGCAGCTGCATGCCATCTTGAACTGCAGTACCTGAGCTGAAGTTTTCTGCTCCTATCCCCAAACCAGCTGCCAGAAGTGGAGGAAGAATCTCAGCCTGGTCTGAGAGGGGGGGAATCTCTCATCAGCTGTTTCACCGTGCACGCTCATGGAAATAAAACGGACATGTCCTCAAGCTTGCCACTAACTCCAGTTCTGTTCTCAGAGCATGCACCTGCACAAACGTGCATCCCCGTTTGAACCTAGCTTAGCCTGGAGGCTGATATTGTTGTGTGCTCTATTTTCCTAATCCCTGGTGCATGGCTAGAAGTCCGCTCCAGCTTGAGGGGACTCTCAGAAATTTACACAAGATCAAAATGCTTTCACTGGAGATTCACAATCAGGACAGATATGGGGTGGAAATCTTGGCCCACTGAAGTCAGCAACAGCAAACCTCAGCAACCAAGACTAGTGAGGGGCCCCCCTTCATCTCAGTGGGCTGCAAGATTGAAAGTGGTGGGAAATATGCATCCTGTTGGGCTTCTACCTGGATCCTGTGCACCCCCTCTCTGCCCCTTTCCACCAGGCCTTTCACACTCTGTCCCCACGTCTCCTCCTTCCACACAGAGATTGAATGGCCACGCATCAGCTGATTCTGAAAGTGCTGGGAGGAGGGAGGAGCAGGTAAGTGCAGGGCACCAGTGCGTGAGAGGCATGGGGGAGGGGAGCAGGCCGCAGCAGGCTCACCACAGGCATACCTACTGACTTAGGATGGCCAGCCTTTCAGGGTAAGCAGGGAGTGGGAAATGCAGGTGTAGTAATGTGCAGCTAGAGGTGGAAAGAAATGGAGACGGAAGAGTAGAGGAAATCACCCCCGAGAAGTGAGCACTGAGTGCCACTAGGGAATAGCGCCTGGAATGAGCTGAAAAACAGGAAGCCCATTGTGCTTTGCTTTGTACAACATATTTCACTAGCTGGTCCCTTGTCCAAGAGCTGCTGGCTGAGCCCAGCTTTCGGGGGACACATTTCTGAGCTCCCAAACTGGGCATACAGCCAGCACAAGCGCTGCAGGCTTTCGCATCCGCCTGTGACAAACCAGACGGAAGAGTGTGGCTGGGGAAGTATTTGCACAGAAACTTAGTTGGCGGCATCCCCCCCCTAGAGATACCACTAAAAAGAGCATTGTCTGGTGGGCAACAGCCGTGGCCAGGCAGGTCCCACCCAATGCCACCAGTCCTCCATACCCTCCTCTACCACAGTGAGATGGATCAATCTGGAGCTTGTGAAGAGTGGGCGATGGATCTCAAAGTCAAACTCCCGGGTGACGTTACAGGTATAGATCCCCGAGTCATTCAAGGTCACATTTAATACAGTGATGGACACATCCTGCATGTCTTTGCTCCCATTCCACTGTAGCCGGCCACTGAAGCGGCTTGGAAATTCATGGTGAACTTTTCTGTATTCATAGATCTGCAAACAAATGGGGGGAGGGGTGGAAAGTAAAGAGTCATTAGTCACCTACCAGTTTGCTGGGGCCATTCCACTCCCCACCCTGCGATTTCTTTTCTAGCTATTGACAGTTCCCAACTAGCAGGTGGTTTAGAACTTCTCTTGCTGAAGCAGCTTGTTTTAAAAGTGCTTTTCAGGAGGGTGTCTGAAAGCACTTTGCAAAGAGGGCAATCAGAATTGTTTCCATTCTACAGGTGGGGAAAATGAGGCACAGCAAGGCCAAATGACTTGGCCAAGACCAAAGCAGAACAGAGGCAGAATCAGGAATGGATTTAAATACACACAGTTGTGTGAGAGCACTGGAAATTGTGGTCTGAACACAAGTGTAGCAACAGAATATTGAAACTGTGCTAAGGATAAATGTAATGACTTATTCACCTAGCCATCAGCACTGGGGGCTTGATCTTCAACTTGCCCTGAACTGGGCCTCCCTTTCTACACGGTCAGCTTTAGGAGCGTGAGTTGTTCGGTGCTTGAGATAATTTTGATGAATGGGTATACCCATAGCCTACGTCTAGACTGGCATGATTTTCCGGAAATGCTTTTAAAGGAAAAGTTTTCCGTTAAAAGCATTTTCGGAAAAGAGCGTCTAGATTGGCAGGACGCTTTTCCGCAAAAGCACTTTTTGTGGAAAACGTCCGTGGCCAATCTAGACGTGCTTTTCCGCAAAAAAGCCCCGATCGCCATTTTCGCGATCGGGGCTTTTTTGTGCAAAACAAATCTGAGCTGTCTACACTGGCCCTTTTGCGCAAAAGTTTTGTGCAAAAGGGACTTTTGCCCTAACGGGAGCAGCATAGTATTTCCTCAAGAAGCACTGATTTCTTACAGTAGGAAGTCAGTGCTTTTGCGGAAATTCAAATGGCCAATGTAGACAGCTGGCAAGTTTTTCTAGAAAAGCGGCTGATTTTCCGAAAAACTGGCCAGTCTAGATACAGCCATAGAGCAGTACTTGTATGTCTAACTTGTGCCCACAAATAATTGTGGGTGCAAAACTGTAGCCACTAATTTGTGCACCCACAAAGTGCAGATGCAAGAAGAAAGACAATTGTTTAAAAATCAGATTCATCCCCTCCACCTACAGGCATGTCGGCAATTTAAGCTCACACTGTGCGGTAGTTTAGGAGATTGGTGAGAGCATGTGGACCCTCTTGCCAGTCTGTAGAGGACCAGTCCATGCCATTAAAACACTCCCTGAATCACACTCATTAGCATGCTCAGTAGCTAAGCCAATCCTGAATTCCCTTCTTATGCTTTATAGTTGTCATAGAGTCATAGAACCATACAGCTGGAAGAGACCTCAGAAGGTCATCAAGTCCAGCCCCCTGCCCTAGGCAGGACCAATCCCAACTAAATCAACCCGGCCAGGGCTTTGTCAAGCCGAGACTTAAAAATCTCTAGAGATGGAGACTCCACTACTTCCCTAGGTAACCCATTCCAGTACTTCACCACTCTCCTAGTGAAATAGTTTTCCCTAATATCCAATCTGGACCTCTCCCACCACAACTTGAGACCATTGCTCCTTGTTCTGCCATCCATCACTACTGAGAACAGCCTCTCTCCAACCTCTTTGGAACCTTCCTTCAGGAATTTGAAGGCTAATATCAAATCCCCCCTCACTCTTCACTTCTGCAGACTAAACAGACCCAAGTCCCTCAGCCTCTCCTCATAAGTCATGTGCTCCAGCCCCCTAATAATTTTGGTTGCCCTCTGCTGGACCCTCTTCAATGTGTCCACATCCTTTTTGTAGTGGGGGCCCCAGAACTGGACACACTACTCCATGGCTACGTCTAGACTACATCCCTTTTTCGGAAAAGGGATGTAAATTAGACGTATCGCAATTGCTAATGAAGTGGGGATTTAAATCTCCCGCGCTTCGTTAGCATAAAAATGGCTGGGGCTTTTTTGGGCACAGAGATTTGTCAGAGAAAAGCGCCAGTCTAGACGCTGGTCTTTCGAAAAATAAAGCCTTTTCCGAAAGATCCCTTATCCCCATTTTTATGCTAACGAAGCGCGGGAGATTTAAATCCCCACTTCATTAGCAATTGCGATACGTCTAATTTACATCCCTTTTCCAAAAAAGGATGTAGTCTAGATGTAGCCCAGATGTGGCCTCACAAGAGCCAAATAAAGGGGAATAATCACATCTCTGGATCTGCTGGCAATGTTCCTCCTAATGCACCCTAAAATGTTATTAGCATTCTTGGCTACACGGGCACACTGTTGACTCATATCCAGCTTCTCATCCACTGTAACCCCCAGGTCCTTTTCTGCTGAACTACTAGGGTATGTCTACACTAGCTCATTAATTCGAGCTAGGTAGGCAAATCAGGCAACCAGAGTTGCAAATGAAGCCCGGGATTTAAATATCCCAGGCTTTATTTGCATGTTCCCGTCTGGCCGCCATTTTTAAATCCCCCTTAGTTCGAACCAACTGCCTGATTGGCAGATTTGCCCACCTAGCTTGAATTAACGAGCTAGTGTAGACATACCCCTACTTAGCTGGTTGGTCACCAGGTCTGTCCAAATCAAAGCTCAACATGAGCTCTGTTCTCTAGCTGAGACAAAAACTTTACTTCTTCACATGCACATATGCAAATATGCAAGACTGCATACACTCAGGACTCATTCTAAAAATCTGTTGCTTCTTATCCATCATTGCCACATCCCTCTATTTTAACTCAGTCAAAAGGACTGTTCCAAAATCCTCCTACACAAAAGTCAAAAGTGCACACAGAGACCGGCTAAGTGCTTCACAAATCCCATGATGGAGTAACTTTCACAGGGATGTTACTGTGCCACCATCATTAAACCAGCGGGTGAAAGAGCTGTCTAGCACTAAATCCTGGTTTCAGTCAAACCAATGGCTAGAATTACAGGGGCTTCAGCGGGTTTTCTGTAGAGGGTGGCTCATACAGTTACCTAAATGCTTCCAGCTCCCATCCAGCACGCACCATATGATCCATCATCTATAGCCAAGCCCTTCGATTCAACCGCATCTGCTCTAATCCCACTGACAGAGACCAGAAACTTCAGGATCTCTACCAAGCATGTATAAACCTCAACTACCCACCTGGAGAAATAAAAAAGCAAATTGAAAGAGCCAAACGAATACCTAGAAACCATCTACTACAAGACAGACCCAAGAAAACCAACAATAGAACACCATTTGTCATCACCTACAGCCCCCAACTTAAACCTGTCCAACATATTATCAATAAATTACAGCCTATACTGGAACAGGACACTAAACTCCAAGAAGCTCTGGGAGACAGACCCATAGTCTCCTATAGACAACCACCTAACCTCAAGATGATTCTTACCAACAACCACAGGACATACCACACTAATACCAACCCTGGTACCTTCCCTTCCAACAAACCCCGTTGCCAGCTTTGTCCACATATTCATTCTGCTGATACCATTATTGGACCTAACCAAGTGAGTGAACACATATGAAAAGGACAAATCACATTTCAGAACAGAAGGAAGGGGAATGCAGGGGGAGGGGGGAAAGGAAGGTGAATGCCTGTGAGTTAATGATATTAGAGGTGGGGAAGGGTAGATGTCTGTGAGTTAATAGTATTAGAGGTGATAATTGGGGAAGCTATCTTTGTAATGGGTAAGGTAGCTGGGGTCTTTTACATCTGCACTTGAAAGGGAATCCTATGAACTGTCATTCATGCTAAAATTCGACACTCTCCACGGGGGGCTGAACAACGACCCCGAACTACCTTACCCATTACAAAGATAGCTTCCCCAATTATCACCTCTAATACCATTAGCTCACAGACATCTACCTTTCCCCACCTCTAATATCATTAACTCACAGACACTTACCTTCCTTTCCCCCCCACCCTGCATCCCCCTTCTGTTCTGAAATGTGATTTGTCCTTTTCATATTTGTTCATTTTTTTAATTGTATCCTTTGGTATATATGGCTGTGACTATTTTCTTCCACTATTTGATCTGAGGAAGTGGGTCTGGCCCACGAAAGCTCATCACCTAATAAACCATCTTGTTAGTCTTTAAAGTGCTACATAGTCCTGTATTTTGTTTCAGCTACACCAGACTAACACGGCTACATTTCTATCACTAGTTTATTTCTAGACATCTCAGTCCATCCTCCAATCTTCTATCTGCCCACTCTGCACCCATGTTTGACTGTCTGCATTGCTACTCTGCAGCCACACGGTGAAGTCTGAGAGAAGCCAAGTTCCCTGCATTGTGGCTGCTGCTTGACAGGCTCAGTCAGCAGCCTGGTCGAACTAGCCTAGGATCTGTGTCCTGGGGGAAACACATCAGCTGCCTTCTCCTGTAAGTAGTGTAGCGCAAAACACAAGTAGACAAGTGCACAACGCAGGCTTGCATTCTGCCACTGACCAACCATGGAACTAGGGCAAGTCCGTTCATATTTCAGTGCCTGTTTTCTCCTCTCCTTTCAGCAGTCTTGTTTATTTAGGCTGTAAATTCTTTGGAAAAGGGACTGCTGGCTGTGTGTATGTACACATACTGGGGTATGTGCATCCCCTTACACCATGTGGTCTGGAACTCATTAGGCCTTCTGAGTGCTGCTGCATGACAAATAAGCAACTGGATCAATGATGGTCGGGGGAGACAGTTATGAGACAATGTTGGTAAAGTGCTTTGGTACCTTTGGGGGAACAGTGTGATACAAATGAAAACACTGCAGTGGGGCTAAATAACTTAAGGAGCATTGTCATTTTCAGGCCTGTGTGAGTGGCCGCTGGACATTCTTGTCTTTATCAAGTCAAAATGTCACACACATATAACCCATATTACACTTGCTGCTCTTGTTTTCCTTGTGTGACTTTCACCAAAAACTTGAATGCTCTGCCAGGCCTTTTCACCTCCCTTACCTCTTATCCCTTATTTGCTGGATACTTTCCCCACACTAAAGGCTAAGGAAGCAATGAATTAGGTTAGCAAATCTGCATACCAGCTCATCTTTCCCCCCTTCAGTCTTGTAGAACCATTCCACCACAGTGCTTGCAGACACTTCCTCTCTCTTCATGCAGGAGATACAGAGCAGCTTCATGTGAGTTCCTTGCACAGCCTCCGTCTCCGAAGGAACTTCCACGCAGACTGGAGAACAGATGCCAGCTGAAGCCATTGGGCCAAAATAACAGCAATTGGAGATCGAGATGGAGGAAAACAAAAGATTTTTTTATTCAGGTCTCGTCTTTTACAGAGGTATTATGAACCTCACTTGAAAACCATCTGCTTTATTACCACGGCTCATGGACAACGTATAAAAATCTAAACTGGCAAATTTTACAAACTTTCCTTCTCCAAGCTGAACTCTGTAAATACATAATTAATAATAATTAATAATCTGTGATTGCGGCAGGCAAATTCCTAGCAGCAGCAGCTGCCTTGCCACATTTTTAAGTCCTTTTAGTGCTACTTTAGAAAGGAATCACCCTAATACGTTTGCTCTCAGGCACAAACAGTTCAACATACTACCCCCTCGAAGGTCTGTTACAGCACTTCTTGAGCTCTGTATTGCACCTGCCTCTGAATCCAGCCTACAGGAGCAATTGTGCACTAAATGAATCTGGATGTTTCAGAGTGATGCTGTGTCCAAATCCAATCATTAGGATTCACTAGGCTCAACGCTTCCAGTTTTGTGGTTTTGTAATTTTTATGTAAGTACAAGAGGCTTAGAGTGAGGCAAAGTTGGCTTCTGGGTAAGCTTTAGCGTCTGTGTGAATGATAGCCAAAAAGGCTTTCAATTAGGTCAACACAGAAATTGGCAGGTGTAAAATACTTCCCTCTGTAATGAGGCAGCCTTCTCTTCTCTGCAGCTAGGCACTACAGCCTCCTACTCATCAAATGCTGTCTTGATACAATGTAAACCCATGCTGCCTAGGAATGGGAAATATCAACAGGAACAGCTTTGTCTAGAGTCTTATGCCACTAGCATGATGCTGACTGTTACCTTCATCCTCTTCCCTGTAGATGAGGTCTGGGATTGTCTTTTGCAGCTGTTGCATTGTAATTATTATTTGGGCTGACAAACGTCTCCACCTCCCCCTGTAGGCCTAGAGTGTGAGAGCTGTGGGCTTGATTGCCTGCTCCCAGTCTCGTCTCCAGCAGCCCGGGTGCATGTCCTAGTCTGTGGGGCGCGGTGATGGGTTACTTCCTTGCTTTGGTCTGTGGAAGCTGTTCCACATTAATTAAATACTGTTCGGGCACGCACAAGGGCACAATGCTCTCTGTAGTTCAGGGGCTTGGCTATGCTCTTGGGGTGTGGGGAGAGGTGGATTTGAATGTGACATGTAGCCCGGGAGAGTGTGCCTGCATTGGGGGAGGGGGAGGTAGTAGTGGGCTGATCGCTTCCCTCTTGCTTGTGGACACTGTTCCACGTGTGTGTTTTGGGCCAAGCTTCTTGCTAACCTCGCTCTCCCGTCCAGTGGTGAGAAGGGATTTGACGAGGGTTCCCCCCCTGGCCAGGTGAGCACCCTAATTCCTAGAGCAGTGATAGGAGCACCTGCAGTCTTGCCAGCTGAAGCTGTTCCATGCAATGGCATTGCTCTTGGGGCCAGGGGTCCGGCTGCACAGATCGGCTGAGTGTGGAATGTTCAAATCCCGTTTATGCCAACAAGGTGGGAGTTAAAGCAGGATCCCCCTAGCCCAAGGCTCTGCTGTGCTTCTGTGGCACCACAGTGTGGGGGAGGGGGCTAGTCTTATGAGCCCTGCTCTTGCTACCAAAGCTGTTCAACTTCAATGAAACAGTATTTGGGGAAGGGAGCCTAACGCCCGGGTGCATAATCCAATGGCCAGGCTCTGGGGCTGCTCTCACAGAGGGTTTGAGGCAGCGGGAGCTGTGGGGAGGGCCGCACTGTGGAGTCATGGACAAGCTCTTCCCTGTTCAATAATGACAAGCATCCGGGCAGCCTTCCTTCTGCGGAGCAGTGGTTTGGCCACGGGGCTGGGTTGTGGGTCCAGTCTTGCCTTTCTGGTGCTAAGGAAGGTTTGAGTGGGTCTGTAACAGCCGGAGCAGGCTTTGGGGTACTGCAGTGGGGGCATGGGGCTGGCATCCCTCGTGCCTGGGGAAGCTGGTCCACTGTAATTACATGGTATTTGGGCATCAGTGTCATCTAATTCCCTCTGTAGGCTGGTGGTTAGTTGACAGACTGGAGTGTAGGACATGTGGGTTCGATTCTCCCCAGGCATGTGTGGCCTGCTCCTTCTGCATTAGGACAGCAGGTGCCTCCCTTCTTGCTGCACCAAGCTGTTCCACTTGAATTAAATATGACTTGGGCCAGGATGTTACTGTGACTTACTTGTTAGGCCAGCAGTTAGGCTGTGTCTCTGGCCTGAGGAAGCTGTGGGTTTGACTCTCCCCTGGTCCATATAGCGTGACCTGACACCCTACGGTGCCTTCCTACTCTTTGCCTGGGGAAGCCGTTCCACTTGAGTTAAATGTGTTGTGGAGCGGGTGCCCAGCTACGTCCAGTGGTTAGGATGAAGACCCGGGTTTGAACCTGCAGGGGGCTTTGTGCAGGGATCTCTAGCCACCTAGGTGTTTGGCCTTCATGGTGGGCCATCCTTGTCCTGACCCCCTCTCTTTCTCAAGAGGCCGGTGACTTCTTGGGAAAGGGAGGGGATTGGGCACAGGGATCGCTCACCAATGACTCTCCCCAGAAGGTGGCCACCCCAGATCACAGCCCTCAAAAGAGTGGGGGAGTGCCTTGGGGTGCCTGACACAAGCTGGGACTGATCATGGTGGACTGGGCGGGGAGGGGGGTTACTGCTCAGCAGCAAAGCTTTAATTAAAAATAGCAAGAGAACCTGCAAATGGCCTCTTGGCCAGATCCAAGGGCTCTGTTCTCTCACACCACAGGTCCTCCTGACAGCATGAGTGGGGATTTAATTCAGGGCCACCAGCACAGCACGCAAGCACCCTAACCCGCCCCCCACAGAGGGCACTGAAAGCTTACCCTGGTTGATAAATAGCTACAGTGGAGCATCCGAACAGTAAAGGACGGAAGAGCCAGTGTCCACACAACAAGCCGACTAGGGATGGGAGCCAGCCCCTTACAGCAGCAAGGTTTGTATTCAACCACAGCACTGCCAAAGCAGGCACATGGAGCAGATGGCCCAATGCCCATGTCATGGTTCCTGAACTTGGCCCACGTTCAGCACAAAGGACTGAGGGAGCCCCCACAACATCCCACTTGCCCAGCACTGAGAAATGCTCAAGGGGTCAAATCCCCACTCTTCAAGAGGAAAGGGGGCTTGAACAGTACTCTCCCCCAGGGGGGATTGCATCCCAAACCACTGGACCACCCAGGGCCTTTTGCTATGGCCTAATGACTATTTAAGGAAGGTGGCCTCCCTTCAACAGAAGAGACTGACAGGAATGTGGGAATTCCTCCCAGCAAAGCACTAAGGTCATTCAGTTGAGAGAAAAGCAATAAAGGTTCAAATTCCTTCTCAGTAAGAGCATAAGGGCATTGAACCCCAACCTCCCATATGCTGAGCATCACCCCCAACCACTGGCTGCCTGCACAGCTGTGGCTCCAGGAATAGGTAATGAAAGTGGAACAAAGCCACTGGCACTTCAGAGGGGCAGCCAAGTTAGTCTGTAACAGGAAAAACTTAAAACACAACTAATAGTCTGGTAGCACTTTAAAGACAAAACTAGAGAAGATTGAGGGGACCTGAGCACCCACTAGCTGGCTTGTCACCAGAGAGTGGACAAGCTGAGTGTGAGTTGAACTAGCATCATCCACATGCTGGTGAGCACCCAAACCACAGGACTACAGAGGAATTCGCATAGCAGGTGTGGCAAGTTACTGTGTAATGAAAATGGTACAGTCTCAATATGCTACAAAGTGCAGCCCTCAGCCTATCCTTTATGTCAGTCTTGGGGTGCATGCCTGCTCTTTGGGCAGGCAGAAGGAAATTGACTTACGGTGTTCCCCTGCCAGGTACTAACCTCTGCGTACCAGCCATGGCAAGGAGCGTCTCTAGTGAATCAGGTGCCTAAATCATTTACTGAGCTTGTTAGGGACCTGCCTGATGCCCCACCAAGTATTCAAGGGGGAAGGGGCCAGAGCCATCCTGTGTACCTTTCAACCTAGGGTCATCCCTTGTGGTGTGAAGTGAGGGCTGCTTGAGTTTCAGTCTGGAAAAGAGACAGTGCGGTTGGAGAGGACAGAGGCCTGTACACTCATGACTGGAGTGGAGGAAGAGACTCAGGAAGTTTATTTACTTCCCTGCCTGAAATTAGTAGGCAGCAAGTTTAACGCAAACCAAGAGCAATACTTCCCACAACACGCACGCAGCCTGGGCCAAAATTATGAGTTCAAAAAAAATTAGTTTATGGTGAAAACAGCGGAGTCAATAGCCACCACTGCAGAGCGTGTGTGGGAGACAGCTCCGTACCCTGGGGAGGGACAGGGCCTCAGGCAGAAGGGCTGGGCTGCGGGCAGCCAGTCGTCCACACCACCTGGATTGTGAAACTGGACTTTCCCCCTGCCCTCAGAGCAGTGATGCTCCAGCAGCAATTCAAAGTGACTCAAGGCTCCAGCTGCCATTGTTGCTACTGAATCACCGGGCTCCAGGGAAATTGCCCCTCCCCCCGTCGGAGGCCTGGGTGAAAAGGTTTGCCAGTGGCTATTAGCCAAAATGGTCAGGGACACACCCCTGTGCTGAGTATCCCTAAGCCTCGGTCAGACGCTGGGAGTGTTCAACTTGATGATTGCCCTCCTTTGTTATTGCCTAGGAAGCCGGTCAGCAGAATGGCCGTTGGGCTAGGTGGATCATTGGTCTGAGCCACTCTGGCTGTTCTAATGTTCTTCCCTTCCCTCTCTGGCTGATGAGATGGGATTTGGAGAGCCGCACCTATCACCCAGGTACCCTAATCCTCTTGCAGCCCTCATGCATGCACTGATTACAGAGCTACATCTTCATTAAGCCAGGATTTCAATACTAGCGAGCCCTGGGGTAAATACTGGGACAGCGGGCCTACACCCCTCTGGAAAGTTGCCATTCAGACTGTTGCCAGCATTACAGGCATAAGCATTCATGGGCTAAGCAAAAGATTCAGGACATGCTGGACATTTCTTGGCACCAAGGGAGCATTTCCAAAA